TAATAAAAATGGGGCGCCTCAACTGATACTGACAAATTAAAAGACCAATTCATTTCAATACCATAAAATTAAAAACGATAATGTCTGTATCTGCATCGTCTAATTAATCTAGATGGATCTCACAACTGAAGCTAAAACATAAGAGACGAACTGATCATAATAGGGTTTCTCGCATCTGAGCTGGAACCAAAACATTAAAAGACTCATGATTCATTCATTCACATTATTTCATTATAATTGGCCGTAGCAAGTACTATCAGCGACAGCAACATCCCGGTATCAACATCAGCACAATGTCAGACTCGCCAACAGCTTTCAACCTCCACCACTAAAGTCTCCATCTAAAGCCTCCGACCCTACCACAATCCAACATAGTCCTGCCCCAATTCTTCTTTAAATACATAAAAGCGACAATACCCTTACCACATTCAATAGAAATTTCTTCTAAAACCAGAGTCGATTGTACGATTCCGACAATGTCATGAGCATGTGTTTATGAATCACTGATGTAGTGATAGTGATGATACCAGGTGTTCGCGAAAGGGTGAGCGTGTCCTGCACCACCGGTGGCACCCGTCACAAACATGTAAATGCAAGTTAATGCAAGTTACTTGTTCACCTGAAACAACACGTGAACAAACCCAATGCAGCCACCATAGCCACCGCCAGTGCTGGCGCCAGTCGAGCCAAGATGTTTGGACCGCAGTTTGGACCACAATCTATGAAAGTCCATACTTCAATGAACTCACCAAAGTGAAAGTCCATACTTCAATGAACTCACCAAAGTGAAAGTCCATACTTCAATGAACTCACCAAAGTGAAAGTCCATACTTCAATGAACTCACCAAAGTGAAAGTCCATACTTCAATGAACTCACCAAAGTGAAAGTCCATTCTTAAGTAATCCTTAAAGGGCAATAGCCCCGGGGGCAAGAACTGGAACCTTCCTCAACACATTACTTATATTATCTGACCTATTATCTACCCCGCCAACTCTAAAACTCTTAAACATAGCAAGAGTATCAAAAGATTAATATATAATAGCATCTTATTTCAAAATTTATATTCCAAATTGTAAATCTATATGGACATAAATCCCTTTACACTAAAAGTATTACTAAATGGCACATGTTTTTCTAACCCGACCCATTTAGACAAAATAAGTTCAAGAATTCACAGAGCCATTGAAGATCTAAACTCTGCAACTAAACACCACAGTGATCAATGTGCAAACTGCAAAACAACTGATCTTTATATCACGATCAGTAACAAACTTCTGTTTGAAGTCTATACATCAAAATCTAAAAACAATCTATCTTTACTCTTCAGGCCATTTAATACATCGACAGTATTCTCGGCAATTTTAAATTTCATTATAATATACAGCAAATATTTTAGATTAATCTTTGACAAAACAAAATTCAAAACAAACTAATTGCCATATATACTGAATCTAAAATATTTGTATGCATGTAGATGTCGGTCAATGGGTGCAGGGGTTTAGCAAAGTCTCACCTTGTGAAGATTTGTTGATAAAAATGCCGAAAGAAAAAGAGACACCTAACATCACCCCTCCCTATTTCGACACTGGTACTAAGTTTGCGGTTGCTTACAGGGGAGAAAAGACTGCTGAATCGACGGAGCTTTATATTAAACCAACAGTTTGCAGGTTTCACAAAGAAAACAGCATTAAATGATGATAGTAAACCTTTCATATCGGAGCTGGACAAGATAGAGTTGCAATGAATGGTTAAAACGGTCATTTCGCAGCAATGTGTAGGGGCGTTGGACAAAATTCTCCTTGTGAAAATTTATTGAAAAAAATAATTCGGTGTGTGTATAGTGTGCACGCGCTGGTTCGAATCCCGACATTGAAAAATGTTTGAAGCCAATTTCTGGTGTCCCCCGCCGTAATATTGCTAAAAGCGGCGTAAAAACATACTCATTCATTCATTCATTCATTCATTCATTCATTCATTATCTAAAAATACTGATAAATAACATGCCACTTGTTCGTACGGGTGGAGTTTAGAAATGGTATATTAACACTGCCTAATTGTGTTGAAGGGGCCGTAATGACGGCAACGAAACTGTTTTCTCTGGTTTACATCACTTGTGTTGTATTGAGAAACCATGCATGTTAACACGTTCGCTCCTGTGACGAAAATCCGGGTCTAGTACCCAAATTGGGTAAAATGTCTGAAACCCATCCGTCGTAATGCGGTTGAAATATAATTATAATTGAGTAATTGGTTAAGTTGAAAACACCCACGACATAGGTGTAAGAACAGAAACAGAATTTAGAATCAATATATTTATGTACATGCTGTATTCTTACATTAAATAATTACATTCATTGACGACATGGGACAATCTCCCCTACCCCCATCCAAACTCACGCACGCACGCACACGGGCACCAACACACACACACGCACACACACACACACACACACCGACCTGGTGCCCTGGTGCCCTGGTGCCCTGCTGTTTTGTATCGACTATAACATCACAGACACATTTGACATTACAGCCACAGCGATTATACTTTTACATAATTATATGTTCACCAACAGATTGTTTAATTACATATTGCTGCTCTTACCATGTCGTTTTGTTCAACGTCCTCTCCAGAGGCAGGGCAGGAAATCAAGCTGAAAAATGTTTCTTGGTGAAAAGTCTTCATAATGCACAGGACATACCAAAGTTTTATACGCAGCGTTCAAAGTAGCGCGTGAATAATATAAACATGAGAAATAGGGGTCTCAGCCCATTGTAATCTCGATTTTAAATGAATTCTGAACAACTTGTTGAAATTAATTTATGCACCGGTGCATTTGATAAAGTAAGCGTCGTCTGCTTCGATCCATAGAGTCTGGATTACGCGCAACGGAAGTGTTTCCCGATTGGCTAAACTCGTAACCATGACATCACGTGACAATTCTGGTGAACACCTGCATGAAATATACAACACTTCTAACTTAATTTGATATTTGTTTATATAAATAATCTTAACCGACAAAGCCATTGGCGGTGGGGTTTGTCTAGCGAGGTTAAAGCGTTGACTCGTCATACCAATTCACCACATGGGTACACCATGTAGAGTCGATTTTGACGCTCCTCTCCGTAATATGGCTTGGATTTTGTTCCAAATTTCGCAAATGATTTTGTGATAAGAAATAGTAATTTTTAGCGGTATTCATCATGATAGAATGGAGATGTAATGCAGTGGATGGTCGACCATGAGTTGCCAAACGCCTTAACATTTTAATGCATTTTAATCATAATGATAATTATGAAAAAAATATCAAAGAATTATGAACAATATGTATAAAGTACCACACGAGTAAAAACGTATTAACTGAGGGTGGTGTGGTGGTTAAAGCGTTTGGTCGTCACGCCGAATGTCCGGGTTCGATTCCCCACATTGGTACAACCCGTGAATTGCCGGAAAAGGTGACTATACTTGTCGTAAGAGGCGACTAATGGGATAAGGTGGTCAGGCTCGCTGACTTGGTTGATGCATGTCATCGTATCACAGTTGGGTGTACCCGTAAAGTTACGGGTTAGAAAAGGTCTTCAGCAACCCATGCTTGCCGTAAAAGGCGACTTTGCTTGTCGTTAAAGGCGACTAACGGGATCGGGTGGTCAGGGCCGCTGACTTGGTCGGTGCTTGTCATCGAACCCACTTGAGTGTATCGATGCTCATGATGTCAATCACTGGATTGTCTGGTCAAGACTTGATTATTTACAGACCGCCTATATATAGCTGAAATATTGCTGAGTGCGGCGTTAAACATCAAACCAACCAACCAATTGTGTGGATCGATGTTCATGATGTCAACCACTGGATTGTCTGGTCCAGTTCGATTATTGACAGACGGCCGTCATATAGCTGGAAACCGGGTGAGAATAGGTCTTAGTATAGTGGATCGATGCAATGATGTTAATCACTGGATTGTCTGGTCAGGACTCGATTATTTAAAGACAGACGTTATCTAGCTGGAATATTGCTGAGTGCGGCGTTAAATAACAAACAAACAAACCAGTTGTGTGGATGGATGCTCATGGTGTTAATCACTTGATTGTCTGGTCCAGACTCGATTATTTACAGACCGAAGACATATTGCTGGAATATTGCTGAGTGAAGCGTTAATAAACCAACAAACAAACCAAATGTGTGGATCGATGCTCATGGTGTTAATCACTGAATTGTCTGGTCCAGACTCGATTATTTACATACCGCATACATATAACTGGAATAATCTTAGGCGCTAAGAAATAATCTTAGGCGCTGCAGAGTTGCGTCCATTGGGCACGCCAGAAACATGATCGAGGGTTCGCCCCGATTACATTTCTTGTTTTGACAGCTCCATACTCGTGTGTTTCCCCAAAGTGGTAAACGTTTGAGTCCTGCAACGCTGGCGTGCCAAAGGGACGCGCTATACTTTGTTCAGCGAATTGTAGCGTCTTAGACGACTGGGCTACCCGTTCCCTCTCATGAAATAGAAGAAAATACTATGATCCCCTATTATGTGAATGATATACAATATATATATATAGCAGCATATGGGAACAGTTTTTATGACAATATTTATTTAGGAACGTGATAACTTCATTTATAGTGTTTGTTGACTGAAAGACGTATCTTTATACGTCTTTGGTTGATTCGTCCATAGTTGCGAGTACCCGAGACCACAGATGTTTGGGTGCAGACGAAAACGGCACCACATTTTGGCGAAAACGGCACTGCATTTGGCGAAAACGGCACCTCTATTTTTAATAACGATAAGAGCGATGTATGAACGTTGTTGAATGAATAATACATAAATACATCGGCAACAATCAGAATAGTGAAAGCGAATAGCATTGTTGCAGTTTTGTATTGTTATTCATTATGTGGATAATGTCAGACAGACTGTAAACACATGTCGCCAAAAAGGCCTGACATGAATATTTCTAGTGGACAGCAAGCACCTGTTGAATAGTTATGCCCCTTTGTTCAAAGGTGGCGCTGATTCCGTACCATTCTGACAACAAACTCATGTTGTAGTGAGTCACAAGATCAAATTTGCAATAAGTAATCAAAACAAAAATGGACAAACTGAAGAAGGCACTGAGTGGAGACGATGAAGACGAAGAAAAGGGCATCGTCACACAGGTATGTAGGTTTAACCGTAATGAAAAGAGACGTATTTCCGGGATCTCGCGATTGTCACACCTCCCAAATGACCAAACTGCTTTCCAGGCTTTTTAGTCAACAGCTTGCATATGATTTGCAAAAACGACTCCTACCATACTCGAGACTACCAACCATTTTAGCTAAAACGAAACATTGGCCAATTAAATCACCACACGTATTGTCTTGTCCTATGACTTTAGTCGTGTATTATCTAAATTCATCCCAGACTGCAGACCAGGATGAATTGTTGAGTTTGAGAATTGCGTTAGAAATGTTGGCACTAGTCCTATAGTCTAGTCAGTGCCAAACTGACCATTATGTGAAGGTATCATAAGGACTTGTAGAAAGTTGATCTTTTTAAGGGCTAAAATTGCTATATGTTATCATTTAAAAGACAAGTGGACTGAAGCTGTTTGTTTCTATCACTAACTCAGCATATTATCCATACACAACTTAGGCTCTTTGTCTAAAATGTATTGTTAATTAGTTTAGTGTCAGATGTATTTTAGAGCAACAGACTGATGTATTAGGTATTTTTATTTCACATTTCAAAGGACAAGTGAAACATGGCAGGACAAGTGCCAAGACATCTATCCTTAGTGGCTGGTATCAATTACTGTAAATCTGGAAATTAATGCATCTCCAAATTAATACGACTACTGACCTCTAGCCAAAAATGTGACTCAATATCAATGCAGATCCCTAGTGGAACGATACATATCCTTACCTTAATCCAATCAAACAGCAAGTAGCTCCACTTATTAGCACCGAGTAAAGCACTTCCGTAAAAACAATAAACAGTGTTTTCAACACAACACACATTTTGTATGTTTATTCGTTTGACTGGCATTAAGGTAGTTCAAAGACAATAAAATAATTGACCCAACAACAGTTGACTGATTGGAGTGGTCAATGATACCTAGTTTGACATGAGTGGGTAGAACTCTTGATCCCAGCAATGATAACTCACCAGATGCCTATTATGTAATTCCTATTTTTAAAAGACATTGTTATAAATAAGTTGTTCATCAATATATCTTATCCTTATTTGTTATGTACTTCTTACAACTGCTGCTCAATAAACTGTGTGTGTGTATATTCAAGTTGGTATTTCCACTATTCAAAGTGTGCAGTGAGGCCGTCTTATTGTTTACAGTCATTTTGGAGACATAAATGTGAACAAATACCACTCGCATTTTTCGCATTTAATTCACGCTCGCGTTCATAGATGTTGCTTAGGTAGTAAACATTTACCCTATAAGACTTCCTTTCCACATTAAACTAGTCTGCCAAACCTTGATGTAACTGAATACTGTACACTTTACTATGTTAAATATAGATGAGTTGTTTTTAGATCTAACATATATACTTTGATTGATTGAATTCTAACAACTCCACTTGCAGTCCTTCAAATCATGTCAGCATTGATAAAATATAAATCTGCAATGAATATGAACTGCTAAGACATGATGAGGTCATGAAACTCAGTTTGTATCATATGCATCGAGGGGCGGTCGGGTAGCCTAGTGGTTAAAGCACTCGCTCATCATGCTGAAGACCCTGGTTCGATTCCCAACATGGGTACAATGTGTGAAGCCCATTTCTGGTGTCCCCCGCTGTGATATTGCTAAAAAGCCTCGTAATACCATACTCACTCACTCAAATGCATTGATCACAGTTGTCATGGTTTAAATATCATGGTTAGCTGCTGTGAAATTACCATGGGTGCATAATTGACAAGGGAATACGTTTTTATTGCTAATTGTGATTTGTTGTTTTCCTCCAGATATCGGATGCCTCCACCTTAAGTTGGTCAACCAGAATAAAAGGCTTCATAGTGTGCTTTGTGCTTGGCGTTGCGTTATCAATGCTGGTAAGTTGATGGGTTACCGTATTCGACGTAATAAGCGCCCCGCTCTAATAAGCGCCCACGGCGATATTTGCTAATATATTGGCTCGTGAACAATCCCAATTAGCACCCTTTCCGATTGATCAATGTACACAATAGTTATTTATTCGCTAATAATACACACTCGTGTGTTAAATGCACCCTTAAGTATGGGCAATTAAATTCTGGAAAAATATATCTCTCCTATATAAACATTTCAGGCTGTCAGCATAAACCATGACATTTATCTTTTAACTCTTCGACAAAATAATATTCTAATAAGAGCCCCCTATTTCTAATTTTGAGAGCGCCCTGGGCGCTTATTACGTCGAATACGGTATGTTGTTTGCACTTCAGAGCTCCAGATAAGCTTTTGGTGTTGTGGGTATTTTACCCATGCATTTTAAAATCATTGGGTATCAGTAATTCTATCTGCGTATTCAAATTTCTGTTACCCACTAGTTTTTACACATGTGGGTATTTAAGTTAAATATTTAAAAACACTATTCATCTAGTCCCTGCAAACTGGTGTCGTGTGGGTTCGAGAGCTTTATAGGACTAAAAAATACTACGATACTTCCACAAGAAAGTGTGATGGCAAATGATCATGATGTGACTGTCATCGTGGAGTTTGGCAAGGTTGACGGAATGCCCGTTTATAATTTCAAAATAAGTTGCTGATTTGCTAATCGATTACGCAGGGTTACTTCACAATATTTTGATGATACGCACAAGTTTTATTTTTGTAGCATATCTGTAATGTTCGTTGCGTATTTGATACGTTTGGATTATATTTTACTGCATATTTCTGCATTTCTGATGCGTATTTCACGCAGATACGCAGCTTATCTGGAGCTCTGGTACTTGCTCAAGAATACTCATTTCACTTGAGCTTGTTGATTGTTTTCAAATAATAGTCATGTTGGCAGTGGTAGGAACAAGTTTTTGTAGTCAGCATTTTTGTGTGATAATGATTATACCTGTGGAGAAATTGTCATTGTTACAGGTAAATGCTGATGGAAAGGAGTAAATTTATAATTGGGAGATACTTATCTTTTTATAGTTTTACTGTTGTTTTCTGCAGTTATCATTTATGTCAAGGGGGCACGGGTGGCTCAGTCATCAGCGATGCCGAGTTGTGTCCCTCTTTTGTGCTCCAGAAACATATGATCGTGGGTTTAAATCCCTTTTCGCCACAATTATGTTTCTAGGTGTGTCAGCACCATAGCTGTGCTCGTGGTAAAATGGTAAACATTTCAGCCCCCATCATTTCGGGCTTCCCTCCCACATTATGCTGACAGGCCATGATATTACTGGAACACTGTTCGAAGCACAGATGATCCCAACTCACTCTCTCAAATTTAAGTCACTCTACACATGGTGAATGTGTTGTCGAAAAAATGACGATTAACATGGTGAACCGCGTCAGCAAAAGAGAAAATTTCTAGACATCATCTCCTTGATCTCTCTTTCATTTCAACTTCAGTAATTTGTTTCTTCTTTCAGGGATCCTGTTTATTATTTGCAAGGAATGGTCTCATCATGTTCGCGGTTTTGTACACAATTGGCAACATTCTGTCATTATCAAGGTAAGTTCTGTAAAATGATAACGTGTCATCTTTAGGAAAGTGAGACAAAGGTTGGGGTTCACATTGAAGACCAGCTCAATTCATTCATTTATGAACCACAGAATCTTGTTTCTCAAATTTATTGACTATTCCCTGTGTATTTAAGCAGGTAGAGGCGGCTATCAGGATCGGGTGGTCAGGCTCTCTGACTTGGACGATGCATGTCATTGGATCCCAGAGTGCAAAATGAATGTCTATTTTGAAAAATTCTGTAGTTCTCAAAAATTATCTGCTACAGAGTTGCAATCAAACTAATGATATTTGCGGTATAATTTCCACATGGTTACTCCACAAAGAAATTTCACTATTCCTTCCTGAATTTTACAAGACTCAGATGAGCAGACTTACCTATGTTAATTTCAATCCCTGGAATGGTTTGTATACATCTGCTTGAGTCTGACACTTTGTCTCAGTTGGTCCTTTATAATTTCTAGATAAATTTTATGAACGTAAGTTTGATGATCAGTTGGACATAGTTTATAGTTTGTTCATCTAGATTGTAAATAGTTTCATTAGCAGTAGTGCATGGTGACAATTTATGCATGTTTTGTGTCACATTATCATGTTTATACCACTGTATGTATACATTAGGGCTGGGACAATACACCAACTGTGCACTCCGATACGTATCATGATACTTGCTCTTATCTGTGGTGCGTTAGCCATCTTTGTCATAGATAGGGTGGCCAAGTACCTGGCACACTGCATCTTCCTGAGGCAAGAGTGAACTGACTTTAAAAGTCCAGTTTCCACCCTTGCCGAACTTGGCTGGAATTACTGGGCTTGATCGTAGCGCCACCAGTGGCTATTACCAGTTATGTCCCTTCTAAGCCTCTCCTATGGACCAATCAGATTCCGCGTGTCGCATCACTTGCGTTTGCTTCACAGAAAATGGTGGCGCCCACTCAGGATGATCTGATCGATAACCAAAATCTGTATTGTGATAAAACGGGTCTTACATCGCGAAATGCATCAAATCACGTGAGCACCTTGATTAAAAACATGAAAAGATTTGGAAAATATCTGCTGATAACGAGTTGGCGGTGCACATGCTTTGCAAATCCTGCATGACAGTTTACGAAGCGGATTTCGATTTCGGTGCGCGATTTTGATTGGACTATGCATAGACTCGTTAGTCCAGCCAAAATGTAACCCCATAATACCAGCCTAGTTCGGCAAGGGTGGAAACTTGACTTTTATAGTCAGTTAAGTCTCTTGCCTCGGGAAAATGGGGGCACTGACGATTTACAGTTGGCAGTGTCAGGTATGGCGAGCGGATGAAAATATTTACGTTTTCACTGCTAATTTTCACTACTAATTAGTGTTTTGTGTAACAGTTGTTAAAGCAAACATTTAAGGTATGAATCAATATTTTGTACTTAGTGTGCAACTGAGATTGATACAGGAAGTAGGATCCACCGATGCATCAGTGTATTGTCCCAACACCAGTATACATTCCTGACAAAATGTTAGAAAATGTATTTATTTTATCAGCACAATTGGTTTTAGTTAACATATATTCTTTTATCATGTGTATAAATACACACATTTGTTGTATTCATTTTCACATTTGTTTGCAGTACATGTTTTCTGATGGGCCCTTTGAATCAACTTAAAAAGATGTTTGCAAAAACAAGAATTATTGCAACTATTTTAGTTCTGGTATGTAGATATGTAGTCTTTGAGTAGTGTCAGTTGACATGATGTGTGGGTTATTCAATGTGTTTGTAAACTTTCTTAAACTTTCTGTGTCGATTTAAATTTCAAGCCAGACCAAATCCTCTTCTGTTTTTGTTTGTCAAGTTTCTAAGATGAAGGAGATACAAATAATGTTTAAGAATGTGGTGAGGGATTACGAGGCAAAACATTTTGTTTCTGAAATTGTTAACATATTGACATGATTAACATGAAAATTCAGGATATTTTATAGGAGGTTGTTAATTTTAAATACTATTCAGTTCATCTGTGTGTTGTAACAGTTGGGTTTAAATATGTTAATATATAATTATTTACACAACAGAATTTCTATAAAACATTTGCGTTAAAGTTTTCAGGAAGTTACAGTAAATGCTATAGGCACATCCAAGAGCTTGAACTGTATTTGTTTGGCCTTATTAATGATAATGAAATGAGGACAAACAAGTGCAATTTTGATAAACTGGTAAATTATGGAATGATGAATCAGTGTGATTGGCACTTCAGGAAAGTAGGTTCATGAAGCCTCAATATGATTCTGTATGCAGTCATCTCTACTTGTATTGATTGTTTTGATTGATTTGTCACACCTTTGTCAAGTGTTGGTTCTTATTCCAGGTGATGTTTGTGCTGACGATAGTTTGTGCAACAGCTGTAAGTAAATGAATCTCATGTCAGTTTAGAATAGAAAGCATTTAGTGTACCGTATTTGACGTAATAAGCGCCCACAGCGATATTTGCTAATATATTGGCTAGTGAACAATCCCAATTAGCACCCCTTCTGAATGTTCAATGTCCACAAGACTTATTTATTTGTGTATAATACGTGTGTTATATGCATCCTTAGTTATGGGGGACCGCCTCCGTGGTCTTGTGGTAGAGCGTCCTCCCGGAGAGCGGAAGGTCCTGGGTTCGATCCCGGGCCGCGTCATACAAAAAGACGTTAAAAGATTGTACTTGTTGTTACCCTGTCTGGCGCTCGGCATTAAGGGGCTAAAACAAGGACTGGTCGGCTCGGAGTCAGTATACTGTGTCTGAGTGGGGTATTCATGTTAAACTGCGGCATGGTATCTCAGTGAGCTAGCACTATAAATCGGCATCAGTCCGGACTAGTACAAGCAGCCACACACACACATACACGTGCATGCACGTCGCTATATAAGTGCAATAATCTTGGACGCGACGTTAAACCCAATTTCACCTCACCTCACCTTAGTTATGGGAAATTAAATTCTGGAAAAATATATCTGTCGTATATAAACATTTCAGGCTGTCAGCATAAACCATAAAATTTACGATCTTTCAACTCTGTTCTTTTTCACCAAAATAATATTCTAATAAGAGCCCCCTATTTCTAATTTTGAGAGAGCCCAAGGCGCTTATTATGTCGAATACGGTAAGTGGCAATATGTGAAACACTGGCCCAATGGTGATGTGGGGTTGGTTATAATTGCTCCCCAGCAGCCTCTGTTGGTGAAGAGATGATTTTGTGCCTTGGTTGATTGATTGTGTGTCATTGTAGCCCGACCTCACAATATAAATCACTGGATTGTCTGCTCCAGATTTTATTATTACAGGCAACCATCATATAGCTTGAATATTGCTGAGTGTGGCGTTAAACCACAAACTAATCTTATCATACTTGAACAAATGCTTATGTTTTCTTATTTGCCTTTAACGAGACAAATACGGTACAAATATAGGGACAAGATTTGAATTGATTGTGTTATCTAGATTTAATGTTTTCCATCAACAAAAAAAGGAATTAAGATCAATATTATCTCTCAATATTATCTCATTAAGTGCATATGTTGTCACCATCAACAATGATCAGGATTGAATTAAAATCAGAAACTTTTTAAATCATTCTTAGAAAATATTTTTGATATTGGTTTCAATTGAGGTCTTATTAACTACTAGGAGCTGTTCAAACTGTAACATGAAAAGATATACCATTTCTTCATAGGTTATGCAAAATCCCACACACAACATGATTATTGATCAAGGAAGAGTAACAAATTCTCATGAAATTTAACAAGCTCTGTCCCAGCGTGTGACACCTTCGTTACACTCTCGGTAACATTGCAGCCACCAGTGTGGGCACGGCCATTACAAGAATCTTGAAATTTGCCCTCTAACCCAAAATGTAGTAATGCTTATACTTTTGTTTATGTCTTTGAGAATGCCATCATATTTCATTTTGAAAAGGTTTACGACTGACCATGTTTTCCAGATGAATTTACTTTGTTTGTATAATCAGATTGGTTCGAGATTGCAGACTAACAGAAAATCAACCAACTTCTCCCTTACATTCTTATTATATCAATTACGTGATACTTTTAATGAAATAGAAATTCAAATTGACAAAGAAAGAAAGTAATTCAGCAGCGGTAAGTGTATTCGGCATCACGACAGTCGTCACTTAACGTAAACATAACGGTCATTCGGTTGCGAGTTCAAATCCAAGCATGGCTGTGGCCACCTATCACAGTGGGAAGTTTTGACTGGTGTCAGCGATAGTATAGAGAGCTCTGCGAACAGGCTATTGCTGTGAGGAGCATGGAAATTTAAGATAAAAGGGAGGCAACCCTTAAACTTTGTCTGTTCACTTTGCAGCTGAAGAATGGGGCAGGCCTGGCCATCCTGTTCTGCATCCTGCAGTTCCTGGCCTTAACCTGGTACTCCCTGTCCTACATCCCGTTTGCAAGGTGAGAACATTGGCCAGGCAGCACATACACCACTCTCCTACCCAGAGTTCCATGCGGCCGGCAGCCAGCCAGCATAGTACCTCTGCCACAGGCCAGCGCCATGTGACGATTCGTCACATCTTTCACTGTTCATTCAAGATATTGAATATGCTTTTCATCCGTTTCATGTTTGTCAAGTCTACACATTTTCACATACAAATGTCAAAGAATGGTTACGGCTCATTAAGAAAGTATCCCAATACGTGAAAAACTATTTGTTTTGGCGTAGTTATCCTTTCTTTACATTGGTTGTACGGCACCACGTGCTGTCATCGAAGCCAAAACGGAGAGCTCGCGATACGGTCACTTTGATGTATAAATATATATTGTCACGAAATTCACTGTCGCAGTTGCATTAGCATATCTATATAATTATGCAAAACAATATGTTAAGCGCCCAAAATTCTTGCATTAGTCCGTTCTATATTGATTTCTGAAAAAGAGCGTTTGTTTACAAACAAGAGAAAAGTCCGGTCACGTGATATGCAAATTAGCCTGTGGCAGTGGTGTTATGCTGAGTCACCACTGCGACGGAGTGTGCACATACACCTGAGCCCCATTAGGGGAGACTATAGGGGCTATTTTCATTGTATTGTCTAGCCCACATTATTGCAATAGTATTGTGACAGTTGCCAACTATTGATTTTGAAATAGTTTTGTGATGATAGTAAACCAGCTTTAAGGCTTGATAATTACATTAATCAATGTAATAGAGTGAGTGAGTATGGTTTTACGCCGCTTTTAGCAATATTCCAGCAATATCACGGCGGGGGACACCAGAAATGGGCTTCACACATTGTACCCATGTCGGGAATCGAACCCGGGTCTTCGGCGTGAGGAACAAACACTTTAACCACTAGGCTACCCGACCGCCCCTCAATGTAATAGAAATGAATAAGGTAGACGTTCTCAAAGTCTTCTATTTTTCTCCCCTGTTGTAACTCAAACCAAAGGGAAGTAACTCTAGTCTGTAGTCCTGTTCCTTGCTATTTAAACCAACACACATGCAGGTTTGAAATTCGCATAATTTATGTTTTATATATAACTAACTGTAAATATTGAAACCATCAATTGTTATGCACACTATTGGCATTTTTAAATTCCTATCGATAAAATATTATCATAGGGCAAACAACTGCAATAGTTTGATGTATCGTTACACAGTTTTACACTCCTAACTCCAGGGGGTTTCCGGGATACATTCGGTTCCAGTAACGTGCTGGACTTAAGAGTAGATTGGGTGGTCATACTCAGTGACTTGACTGATGGCGTGTCATTGTACCCCAGTTGCATTGGATGTCATCACATCAATCACTGGTTTGTCTTTGGGCTTGATTAGTCACAGGCTGCCATGATTCAGTGCTCACATTGCTGAGTGTAGTATTTAGACAACGAACAGGCCTACAGTAATTACGGTGAACGATTTTAGAAGTTTAGGCTTAAAGTAAAAAAAAGAATTGGTTCTCGGGCAATGACTTTTAAAAATAAAGTGTGGGCGTTTTTTTGGGTTTTTTTTGTTCTTTTGCTTGTTTGCTTGTTCAAACTGGTATGTAACCAAATAAAACAGTTGTGTACCATCAACCTGGGAAAGGGCTTCCTACATAGTCAGGCACACAAACTCCCACCATGACACGAGATGCGCAATGAAGCAGTGTGCATTTGCATGTAAAGGGAAGTAACTGCATGCTATGTTGGATCACATTGTTTTAAAGTATCAGGATTTTGTGGGGTTTTTTAGGGGCGGGGCCAAATAGGAGTAAATTTGGCTATATTGCTTTAAGTGACTTCTTCTCTGGAACTAAGAGATTGATATCAACCATATTTGGTTGGAAGCATTCTCCAGGGGTGAGGATTCAAAATTGTACAAATGGAGGGCCTGACCCCCAAGGGGCTGAGAGGCGGGGCCAACTAGGGGAAATTTGGGTATATTGCTTTAAACGACTTCTTTTCTGTAACTAAGAGATATATATCAACCATATTTGGTTGGAAGCATTCTTCAATGGTGGGGATTCAAAATGGAGAAATGGAGAGGCTGAACCCCTCCCTCCCTTTTTTAATAGTTATATGTCTGAATGCGGACAGGTAACTTTGAAGATGGGCAGGCAACATTTATGGGTCACCTGCCCAACTGTCTTGTTGGATTGAAAGTTATTTCAAACACTGTTTTGTACTACAGTGTTTAACTTAGGTGCTTCCTGAATCTACTTACGTTCTTATGGCTTATTGTTCTTCAACACCGGTTTTGGACACTTGTAATCTTTCACAACAGTATGGGTGTTTATTCTTTTTTCGAAAAACATCATGCAGTAATTTGAAACCAGGTGGCTTCCACATATTGATCTCACAAGTCTCAAGCATGTCAGTCTGCATCTTTAGCCGCTAGTCCGAAGGCCCAGTCTAGTAAAAATCTGTTCCTTCTAGCCAGTTCAGTCCATATGACCTGAAATCTTCTGAAAATGGTGCCAAGAGACAGCTCTTATTCTAAAAACGTTTTGGTACAAATTGGTATTTTTGTGTCCTCAGGTGTCAACTATCAGATTGTTTTGGTAATAATTATAAAAATTGCACAATTGAGACAAACTTATAATTGTTAACAAAGCATGTTCCTGAATATAAGGTCATGGGTTATGAAATACAGAATCATAAAAACCTACGACTAATTTATGCATATAACTCTTCTATCTGTGTAAAAACTTGAAAATCTTTGTATCAGAAATGAGAGTAATCATGAAGACCTCTTTTTCCTTCACAGAGATGCTGCCAAAAAATGTTTTGCTGGTTGCATTGGATGAAAACTGCGATACTCTTTGACACCACCTGGGACACCATCTGCTTGAATGGAACATCCAGTATTCCCTATGTCATTGTGATTGGACTCTTCCGACTGCAACATCTCCCTACCACATAGATTGGGAGTTTCACATTAAGAATGGTTGCCATATGTTCAAGTAATTGTTTGTTCATGAGAGAAACATTTCATGAGATTTAAATTGTTACCTGTTCCATCTGAATGAATTATTAAGAAAATCATAAAATATGTTATTTTTTTTGCAGATGTATGTACATTGAGGACATGTACAAAGTGTTGTAAATTACAAACAGTTTCTTGATTTGATCTTTGTCACTGAGTAGGTCAGATAACTTTGAATTAGTAGCTGTTGGGATATTGTAAGAAAAATTGAGTTATGTTTTGAGTCTTGTTCATAAAAAAATATGTGATAAAAATATTTGGATATGAATCAGAAAATTTTCAGTGACAACTTTTGGTTCTGAATCAGCATGATTAGAAATATTGTTCCGTTTGAACTGTTGGTATGTCGTTATTAAGTGGCATATTTGAGTAAAGGTACAGGTATGTAGGTATTCAGGATGTAGTGTGTCGTGGTGTCAATATCAGGTGGAACAACAAGTGCATGCTACCTTTCATCAGTGCTACGTGTATCATAACATTATTATTATTGTACATTTTACCATTGTGGCTATGACCTGGGCTACTTGTCTTTGGAGGCTGACAGCTGTTCAAGTCCCACGATACAAGACATTCGCATGTCAACCCCATCTTTTACTTTAGATTCTTCAGAGATGTGCTTGAAGTGTTTTATGACTTATTCTGATGCAACGTTGAAGAGTTTTTGCAAATTTGTCAATAGCTCAAAAAAAAGCATAGCAATTGCTCTATAGCCCAAATGTCACTGCATATCATGATATGAATAGTAAACTATGCTATTGTGATTGAAGTCACAAAACATTGGTTTGCTTCACTCCATGTCACACATGGTAAACTCAGTCAAGATAAGGTTAGTAATGAAAATGTTCTGAGGGTCGATACCAGCCGTATATTTATTGATTCATTCACACGTACACTTCAGACAATTCGAGAATAATAGATAGTTAATATGGAAGCCCAGCGCTGTCATATTGGCACACCGACCAAGTTCATTGAAGTAACACAAGTGTGATGTTCCTCATCCATTATTTATTGCTTACCCGGATTTCCTTAGTGACTCTGTTTCACACATGGCTATAAATACATCATGGGGTATACACCTATACTGAAACAGTGAAGCCCTCTGGGACCTGGCTCATCCCTGCTGGCCATAGACTGCCCAGCTGAAAATCTCACTATTACAATAGACCTTTGTCTAAAAACTGATGCTGGAACTGGCAAAGTAAGCATCAGAAATTTATCAAAACTAACACTGGGTTCATTTTATTGGAAAAGATCGTTTCCCTCCTATTTGTTTTGTGTATCTGTTTCATCATGTTTGAGGGGGCACGGATGGCCCAGTCGTCTAAGGCGCTGCGATTCACTGTGCAGAGTTGTGTCCCTCCGGCATGCCAGAAACCTATGATTGTGGGTTCAAATCCCGGTTTGCCCCGATTATGTTTCTAGGTTTGTCAGCACCACACGTCGCGATATAACTGTAATACTGTTAAACGCGGCATTAAACACAACTCACTCACTCACTCATCATGTTTGATGATGTATCAAAGTAGTTTTGAAGTTCCGAATGTTTATACTTAGGTCTGGTCTGGTTGTCTAAAAGCCACAATTCCTAAATTCCCAGTGAGAGTTGTTTCCCTTTGATGTGCCAGGATCCTGGGTTTCCAGATTCCCCCTTATTATGATACCAGGGGATATGCATGGTTTGTGGCTGTTTACCAAAGTGGTAAACATCAAACAGCAGAATCACCTTCCTTCATCAATGAACAGATATACACTGAAAGATAACTGAAATTGTGTACATTTTGTATTTTCCTCAGATGTCTGGTTTGATCATAGGAATAAAAAATACCTTGGCTTCTTGATACGAGATTTTATTAAGGGAAAGGTTTGTGAGGAAACTAGAGTACAAATCATCTATTGTGTTCTGTATATGTGTTAAGTTCTTCCTATCCGCCTGGTATAAATATTTCAAGATATTGGTTTTAAAAGGTGTTCTTTCATTCATGTTGTCATTTCCAAGTATGGGGGTTTTCGCATGTGTTGTAGCATGTTTTTGTACTTTTGTCAGGGCAAGGGTACTTGTCACAGGATGTTGTACTGTCTTCCACCTCGGCCAGTAATTAAGAAGATGAAGTAATTAAGAAGAAATTAAGCGCCAAACATGTTTTGTATAAATGAGCCTATTTGATTATGATTGATGAATTTAATAAGAGATACACATGTGTTTCAGATATGAGCTACTGAATATATGATGTCGTGGCAAATGGCAGTGTTTTCCAAATTTGGGATCTTGTGAAATTTATCAAATTAGTTGTACATAATACTTAAGAATCCAGGTGATTTTCATTCTTTGAATGCCAATTAACGCCATCTTAGCTTACAGCCTGACAGATTCTGATATACACTTGCTTTCTGTCTATAATTCCTATGTAAGCATTACATACAGGTGTTTCACATTGATGTAGGCAGAAACACTGTTGGACAGAGTTCTGTAATCAAGCATGGGCAGGTTTGAAATATGTTTACATTTTTCATTTTCTATATGCCAGAAATATGAGGTTGATGTACTATCCACAGTCCTGATTTGTCAGAACGCTCAATTCAAATAATTGATGGTTTAATGGTGTACATACTACATAAAACATTGCCTTCACGTTCTGGCTCAAAATCACTATATTTTGAAACATTCTTTTGCATCAGGGATGACTGGTTAATTCTTATTTTTATATCACTGTGAATGCAAATATTTTGTCCAACCCTCAATGCCTTTTGTGCTCTGCATTCAGTGCTATTTTACAGATCATATATATTTTCAATAAGGTAATGCTGAATCACAAACACCGAGTTCTATACGAGATCTTCCACTACTGTTTGTGTGATATTGTTGCAAAGTATATTTTCAGAAAACCTGCAGTACTAAAAATGTGTTTTATATTGTTGGCTACGCCATAATTTTGTTGGCTGTTGTTTTTTATGTGACCGTTGACCAAATTAGTATAATAGTTGAAAGGTTCAGATTTTTGTATCTCGCCAATTGATATCAGATGGAAGTATTAAGAAGTGAAGATTTGGGCTATTCATGTATAAAATTGAAGAGGTTTTGCTGTTAGAAGTCCTCTTGTATTATAGATTTATTCTCTCCAAACGTACTTTGCGTTTCACAGCTACACTGGTCATTTGTGCAAATCTACATTTCTTGAAATCAAAGATCAATAATAGATTATTTTTAACAGGGGTCAACTTACGTGATTGAACCTTGGCCAGAAAATATGGTCAGGGGATTTAACCAGAATCAGCTGTGTCAAAAGTCGACATATTGTTGCATGTACTCGAGCTCATCTCTGGTGTCCCCTGCTGTGATATTGCTGGAATATTGCTGAAAACCATCCTCACTCACTTACTGCATGTACTTGTTGAGTACCAGTAATGTTAATAATGCAGATAAGTGCAAGAAGGAATATGTGATTGTTCCAGAGACCATATAATAGTCTCCGATTGATCACATGGCAGTGAGGTGAGGTGAAACGGGGTTTAACGTTGCGTCCAAGATTATTGCACTTATATATAGAGACGCGCATGCATTGGTGTGTATGGCTGCTTGTACTAGTCCGGACTGATGCCGATTTATGGTGCTAGCCCACTGAGATACCATGCTGCAGTTTAACATGAATACCCCACTCAGACACAGTATACCGACTCCGAGCCAACCAGTCCTTATTTTAGCCCCTTAATGCCGAGCACAAGACAGGGTAACAACAAGTACCATCTTTAACGTCTTTTGGTATGACGCGGTCGGGGATCGAACCCCGGACCTTCCACTCTCCGGGCGGACGCTCTACCACTAGACCATGGAGGCGGTCTCACATGGCAGTGAGCGTCTTGAAGGACCAGTTCTTTTCAACACAGGCTGGCCCATTTGGCAAGTAGATTGTATTTTCTTGAATCAAGCTGTTGTGAGAGTCTGTTCCTCAACACAAAAATAATTATGTATCATGAAATGTTGTTCAGATTACTGATGTGTTTGTTAATATGGTGCTTATTGTATGATATTAAATGTTTTAGGTGCCCTTTTGAATTCATTTGTTAATGTTCGCCTTAAATCAGCTTCTGGAAAGTCATACAATATTGAGATATTGAGAATAGCCACTTTATGAAATAACGCAAATTATGGATTCTTAATTAGTAGAAACAGTGTGCCACCCCATTGACTGATAGAACTAACTGTGACAAAAGTGCCCATGGTGCTTACTGTTGTGTTGTTGTCAAATATATGATGCCAGTTGTCTTTGAGCCATCTGTAATCTTTCCTTCACTGTCACAGAAACCTGTTGATGTCATCATGAATATGTTTTTATGCATGTGTATTGCAAGTTTGTTTACGTGTGTATTATTCATTCATCTGTCAGGGGATTTGTAATAAATAATACTGAATATTTGTTGTGTTGTGTGTCCTCTTCACAAGACAGCTTCCTGTCTACATCATTTACCAGGGTCCTGGATAATACTATTCCTTTGTGTGTATTAGAAAAATGGGTTTGACAGTGTGAGAGAGTCAAATCTTGGACACAGGGCAGTACTGTGACTGGAATCAGTCCTACATTTATTTATATATAGCAGTAACCTATCAGTAATGGACAGTGTAACAGAACAGCAAAGCGAGATATTTTACAGATGACAACTTTTTTATTTACTTCTTTATTCTATTAAAATGCAACAATTTGGGATTGATCCTCATACCATTGTCAAGCAAGAGTTATAAGAATCTACACATACATCGCAAACATCACATACCGTATTCAACGTAATAAGCGCCCAGGGCACTCTCAAAATTAGAAATAGGGGGCTCTTTTATTAGAATATAATTTTGGTGAGAGAAAAAAAACAGTTGAATGATCGTAAACTTCATGGTTCATGCTGACAGCCTGAAATGATACAAAAGAAATATATGTGAGTATCATACACGACAGATATATTTTCCAGATTTCAATTGCCTGTAATTAAGGGCGCATATAACACACGAGTGTGTATTATACAAGAATAAATAAGTCTTGTGCACATTGATCATTCGGAAGGGGTGCTAATTGGGATTGTTCACTAGCCATCACTAACTAATATCGCTGTGGGCACTTATTAGAGCGGGGCGCTTATTACGTCAAATACGGTAATTGAATATAGAAGTTAGTCATCCAAAAAATATCATGCCTTAATGTTACTTACCAACTTCTAAAAAGTGTCACTCAGATAGTACAACAGAATATCACAGTTTGTATTTAATGCTTCTTTGAGAATATTTAGAAAATAGGAACACTACATTACCATTCAATGATAATAAACACCAGGGCCCTGTTCCACAGAGCGATCCAAGTGCTACGTTGATCGTAAGCCTATGGTAAAGTATGGGAGTTATGACCAACTTAGCACTAAGGTCGCTTTGTGGAACAGGGCCCTGGCTACAGATCACAATAAACAAAGTCGAACCACCATACTACAGACAAGGGCCCTGGGCCCCGTTCCACAAAGAGATCGTAGCGCTACGACTGTCGTAAGTTTATGTTAAAGTATGTGAGTTACAATCATTTTAGCATTACGATCGCTTTGTGGAACAGGGCCCTGATCCACAAAGCGGTTTTAGTGCAACGACGATCATAAACTTATGTTAAAGTTTGGAAGTTACGATCATCTTAGCACTTTAATCACTTTGTGGAAGGGGACCCAGGACAACTTGCAGTACCTTGGATACCTGCATGGTGGACCAACAGGGTGTTCACCATCCCTCTAACTCCTGGCGACTGATGGCAGGTTGAGCCGAAGATTAAGATAAACAATTAATACAATGGTAAAAAGTCAGAATATATTGAATGATGTGTTACCACACACTAGTAGTACCCTCTTTGTGTGACAAATATTTTACACTACTGCAACTAACTTCACTGGTACAGCCAGATTATAGACCAATCACAAACAACATGGAGAAAAGGTCTTATCCAGTGATCAGCAATCTTCATCACATCACATTAGTATCTTGAAATTTCAAGAAAAAAAGAGAAAAAAACAAATGGCCCTAAAAGGCTTCCGTAAAAAATGTTTGAAATAAAAAATAATAATTGGGAAGACATTAACATTTATACTTTTGGGGTGATGAGAAATAAAAGATGACACCCTTATTCCATTGCAAACTTTGTTGAAAGACTGATACTTCAGCAGGATCTATGTTGATCTACAAAACTAGCCCATGCTTGTGACTGCATTGGGTTGTTATGATTTGTGACCTGGCTGATTGTGCGTCTATCATTGGGAACTATTGCACATGCTGCCCACCACTGGTACAGTCGGTTCACACACGTTTACAACACAGCAATAAACAGTGTGCCAACACCCGCTTGGTACACTGAATGCTGAGCCCAGAAAAGTGGTAATCCGGATGCCAAAGTGCAGTACGTGGATGCCACATGGCAGTACGCGGATGCCAATATTTTAATGTTGAAATATAATTTTCCTTAAGAGTGGCAAATCAATCAAATATATTTGGCCCTAATGGATGATAGTAGGTCTATGTGAGCATGCATGGGTATGTATTCTATGTAACAATCCCAGTCCAATTTACTTGTTCCAGTTGAGAACACTGATATATTTAGCCTTAATGGTTAATATAGTAGGTCTATGTGAGCATGCATGGGTATGCATTCTATGTAACAATCCCAGTCCAATTTACTTGTTCCAGTTGCAAACACTGACATATTTAGCCTTAATGGTTATTACAGTAGGTCTGTGTGAGCATGCATGATTATGCATTCTATGTAACAATCCCAGTCCAATTTACTTGTTCCAGTTGCGAACACTGATATATTTAGCCTTAATGGTTAATATAGTAGGTCTATGTGAGCATGCATGGGTATGCATTCTATGTAACAATCCCAGTCCAATTTACTTGTTCCAGTTGCGAACACTGATATGACTCAAAAGTTCTTAAATTGGATGCCAAGACACATTAAGTACTATATATGCATATGCCAAGAGGTTATAGGGTTTGGCACCCACAATAAAGCAGCAATCACAACCATCTGATCCAAGGTTCTTGCAAATATATCTATATTTGGACCACTAAAATTCAAGGCTTTTCAACTGTAATTTCAAGGCTCTTTTGCGTTATTTGACTTATTCTGTCAATATTTTTTTCAATTCAGCATATTATTATATAATAATATATAATATGCTGAATTGAAAAAATATTGAGTCATAAGAACTAAAAAGCAGTATGAACATCACACATTTTCCAACAAGTCATATTTTCACAGCCAACAAATAAAATAGATTAATTAAGTCTATCATGAATGAAACTCAATAAAAGTAGGCCTATCTGTGTTATTTAGTACAAATTCAAGTCTTTTCAAGCTGTTATGATCATTTTCAAGGTTGACACTAAAAATCCTGGTTTTTCAAGCCTGTACATATATATATATGGACATTGTGATAAGGGTCTCAACTCTGGATGAATTGTTTCCTCGACCACCAAGCCAAAAGATGCCTCTATCCTGCTTGGACCAAACAGTCCATATCAAGTACGTATTCGACGTAATAAGCGCCCAGGGCGCTCTCAAAATTAGAAATGGGGGGCTCGAATTAGAACATCATTTTGGTGAGAGAAAAAAACAGAATTGAAACATAAATTTCGTGATTTATGCTGACAGCCTGAAATGTTTATGTACGACAGATATATATTCTATACGCGAATAAATAAGTCTTGTGTACATTGATCAATCGGAAGAGGTGCTTATTGGGATTGTTCACTAGCCAATATAGTAACAAATATTGCCGTGGGCGCTTATTACGTCGATTACGGTAATTCCACTTTTAGGGCCCATGTGATTTTGTACCAAATAGATCTTGTAATCAATAATAGATTCGTAAGAAGCTCGGCAATTGACTTGAAAATATCCTCATTAGATCAAGTTGACGACAATAACAAAATATAAGATCCATGCACCGACCCAATGGGGTGGGGATAGGAACTGTGTACATAACCCATTTTGTAATTTATACAGATCTAATCAGGTTCATGTGCAGTCGTATAATGCTTCTAGCTCAATGCCGTCCATGACTGGTGGCCGAGATTGCTGTAATGAGCTTGCGTTAAGATCCTCACAGCGACAGCCCGTGTTCCTGGAGGTTACGATGTGTCACGCGCTGGGAGGAGTTTATGGTGTTTTTACCGGCACTGCAACGGAGTTACTGTGTTTACATCGCAGGCATGTTTGTCTGGTTCCCAGCCCTGTACGCGCGCCGTTAGATTGCGCAGCAGTGCGAAACGCGATAGACAAGCTGAGAGAACTTCTTGCGTAACAGGGACACACGTTCATGTGTCCCCGGTTCTCACTATGGAACCGTTTTGCAATGGGGAACCGTTTTGGGTGAGCCTTAAAGTCAATGTTATTTTCTTATAATAGCAACTTTGCATGACCTGTTTAACTAATAGTCCAGGGCAGTTGGGTAGATGTCATTTTTATGGTTCCGTCATATAGCCTAGATCTAAGTTTACATGACCCATTTGTGAACTGTGAGTACATTTACGTTCGTGTATAAATATTGACGTACGTATAGGATGACATGTGCGTGTGGAGTAGTGTTGTCAACACTCCGACGTGAAACAAATATTTTGAGAAGAAATATCAAAACATAAAGGTCTCTATGGAGGAATAAGGAATTGGACACATCACACACTTGTGTACTGCACGATTTTTGCAGTGAGTAGCCGAACCGTGAAGATCAGGGGTAGAGTATGTCTTCAGCAACCCATGCTTGAAGTAAAAAACGACAATGCTTGGCGTAAGAGGCGACTGCCAGGATCATGTGGTCAGCCTCGCTGACATGGTTGATGTAACAGCAGTCGATTATTTACAGACTACTGTCATATAGCTGAAATATTGCTGAGTGCAGCGAAAAACAACAAACAAACAAGTGAATAGCCAATCACATGGTTCTCAAAAAGACATCTGATGTGCAAGTGAAATACAGCGATATATATTTTCCAAACTATGAAATCTATCATCGATAGTTATAATTTGTTCAACCATCCCTTGGATTGCTACAATTGCCTCGTCAAAGTTGTCTCCCTTAGTCATGCCAGAATCCAATAGTTGTGAGTTCATGTCTCAGATTTACCCCTTTACTATGCTTTGTCTGTCAGCTCTAATGCTATTGTTTCATCATTGTGGGAACTGAATCAATGTCCACTTTCTTATAAAGGTGGCACCCGTGATATCAATCTCATTAAAATCAGATCTTTGTTCTCGCTACTGCAGAACAAAGATCTGAGGACATCCCATTGCGGGTCATGCCAGAACGACCTTTCATCTGACCAATCAGAGTATCGCTTATCAGGTCATGAAAGTGACAGTAAGAATGTGATTTTTGATCGTGCAACGTCGATAAAATTAAAAAACCACACAGGGTATTCCGAACAACAGTTATGGGCTTTATGTTTGTATTCATACAATCTTGACCATCTATTAGCCATTCCTGAATGTTCTTTTGTTCAGTTTTTAATTTTTTAATCAAATATATTAGGGCTGGGACGAGTCCAAATTCATTACCTGAGTACCCAGCCCCCTATTACCCGACCCTACCCGGGTACCCACTGTAGGTCTTAGGAGATGTCTCAAAATGTCTGATTGGGAACATTTTTAGCATAGCCCTGGCAAATCATATTTAGATACACGTAATAAACAATCTGGTCATTCATACACTGAAGTTGAATTATGTTATATCTTTAATCAACCATATCAAGGAATGGGTGCATTGTCAAAAAGAAATGTGAACATTAGTGACTTGTAGTGAAGTCATATAGTTCTAGATCATTTTTGTCATGAAACAATATATCATGTGACTAACCACGGGTCCGGGTAGTCCTGTGGGTACCCGGGTCCTACTCAGTACCCACCTGACCTGGGTACCCGAGTTACCCATCCTAGCCCTAGAGTATATGTCAAAATATGCTTTGAAGCGTAGTCACCAGTTTGAAATGAATGCCGTAAAGCTCGAGAAAGCTGCTCTCTGATTGGCTATTGTCAACTTCTTGTCAGTCGTTTCAGTGGTCGGTCAAAGTTCGCGTAAGGTCGGTCTGACGCGACCCGTAATGGGATGTCCTCAGATCTTTGTTTAGCAGTAGCGAGAGAACTAAGATCTGATTTTAATGAGATTGCCCGTGATATTTAAGTGTTATGGTGTCCAAAACAACTTTAACGTAACAAATGTTATATTTGGGATAGCACTTTCTTTGTAGAGTACAGATTCTCTTGTACTTTACAGAGAAAGTGTTATCCCAAATATAACATTTGTTACATTTGACTACTTTCCAAATGGCACTTTGTGTTCATAGCTTTCGACCATGGGAGCCGTGCCAATTTACACTTGTCAGAGGGGTACACAAAGTATGTCATCTAGACTACCAGTTGTCAGACTTTCATTTTTGTGGAAGCCTCGGTGGCTGACTGGGTTAGGTCGCTGACTTTGTGTGCTGGTGATTAGGTGCCTCACTCTGGCACTGGGTTCTAATCCTGGACGGGATTCAACCCAAAAAGTATGAATATCTGTACTTTACAAAGAAAGTGTTATCCCAAATGTGACATTTGTTGCATTTGATTACTTTCTAAATGCTCTCCCTCTTTAGGCATTCACTCTTGATATACAGTAATACACATGGTATGGGTTAGTGGTAGTTAGCTAAATATGAGGCTGACAATAGGATACACTGATTTACAACCTCTGTATCTCAATAGGCCTACATTACAAAAACCTGAGAATAAACACAGATTAGTTATTCTTCTTATTGAGGAAGTATCTTTGTTATATAATGGGACAGTTTGGACGTGTTTGTCATGTCTTGGTTCAGGGTTGTGATTCACGTGCAAAAAGAAATCATGACTTCATCGTATCGCTACACCTCTAGTACGAGTATGAGACAGTTTCTGATTAAAACGAAGTCATGTGCATCCTCAGATATCCATTGTATAGGGAGCATGGGTAGCCCAGTCATCTAAGGCGCCGCGATTCGCTGTGCAGAGTTGCATCCCTTGGGTACGCCAGAAACCCATGATTGTGGGTTAGAATCCCAGTTCGCCCCGATTATATTTCTAGGTTTGTTAGCACCAGACCCGTGTTTGTGGGTTTCACCGAAGTGGTAAACGTCTGAGACCTGCATCACTTCGAGCCTTGCTCCTACATTAAGCTAACCCATCATGATATAACTAATACTGTTGAAAGCGGCGGTAAAACCCAACTAACGCACTCAAGTGTATACCTATTCAATATTTCCTCCATTCTGTTATGCTAAATATCCTGGACCCATTCGCCATAATAGCTTCATTTGACAATTGATGTCACAGCTGCACTCATTCATACAGCCAATTATACATTTGTAACCGAAACTCAACTCCTGGATCTGCAATGTTATAATATTAATGACAAAATAATAAAAATATATCATTTATGATAATAGAAGCATTAATGGCTGTACATTTCATGCATGTGTCTATTATACATTAATAAGAATTCTAAAATGTAATCAAATAAGACATGAGGTCAAATTAATTGTTCTGTTCGTTAAGAGTAGAATCTAGTATGTATTGTATTGATCAACCAGCATATCAGTAGTATCAAAAATGTCAAAACTAGCTGTTAATTATGTTAATGGTAAATGTTATGTAGTAACAGAAGTTTAATTTCCGGTCAGGCGGGCTGCGTATGCAGCCGGGACTTAATAAGTTTTCAGCAGCCACGCGGCCTTCAGCATGTTCAGCATTGCCTAAAAACCTAAACAACAGTTTGTGTAGTTTAGTTCTATAAATATTGCTCGACCAGGAGTTATTATTATTATTATATGGATAGTGTACAGATATATATATATATAATACAGTATGGTTTCACCTTGACCTACAAAACTTGAGTCAACAGGACCCCCAACAATTAAGTTCAAAGGTCCTTACAGGAAGTGTGAGGGTCCTGTAAACGTGGTAAAGTAATGAAATGGTGTAGTGTACTGTAGGACTCTATTATCCCTTAATTACAGGTCTGAGGACCTTTATATTTCTTGTCAAGAATTTGATACAATGAATATTATTGGGTGTCCTTGATGCTACATATATTATCTTTTCTGCATCCAGTCTGTATACGTTTGTGCACACTTGATGCACATTTCTGTGTTCCGTAAAACCCTGATACAGCATATCAGCCTGTTTTAGAGCATCTTCCCGGGGCAAGAGAGTTAACTGACTTTAAAAGTCCTGTTTCCACCCTTGCCGAACTAGGCTGGAATTTCTGGGCTTGATTGTAGCACCACCAGTGGCTGTTGCGAGTTAAGTCCCTTCTATGCCTCTCCTATTGACCAATCAGATTCCACCTCTCATATCACTTGCATTTGATTCAAACAAAATGGCGGCGCCCAGTCAAGACGATCTGATCGACTATATTGTGAGAAAACGGGTCTTACATCGCGAAGTGCATCAAATCACGTGAGCACCTTGATTAAAAACTTGAAAAGATTTGGAAAATATGTGTTGACAACGAGTTGGCGGTGCACATGCTGTGCAAATCCTGCAATCGATCGAAATCTGCATGACAGTTTACGAAGCGGATTTCGATTTCAGTGCGCGACTCGTTAGTCCAGCCAAATGGTAACTCCATAATACCAGCCTAGTTCGGCAAGGGTGGAAACTGGACTTTTATAGTCAGTTAACTCCTTTGCCTCGGGAAGATTGTTTTAGAGTTCATGGAAGACAACCATCCCCTGAGTCTACACATACTGAAGAAGATGATAAACTCTGGACTTTGCCATATTGCATATCTGGTTTTTATCAACTTCAAAGAAAGACTCTCAGTCCTTATGCTGGTGCTTTGCCCATGTAGGGTGTCTGTCTACATTTTTAACATCTCTGAAATCAGAAGGCTGATGATTGGAAAACTTGCAAGGATGATATCAGCAATTATTGCTCACAGAATTTTTATCCCATTTTAAACATGGCGCCCAGAAAGAGAAAAGCCGGTTGTTCGATCCCTGGTTCCCTCATAACAAAAGACGTTAAAAAAGATGGTACTTGTTGTTACCCTGCCTGGCTCTTGGTATTAAGGGGATAAAACCAGGACTGGTTGGCACGGTGTCAGTACACTGTGTCTGAGTGGGGTAGCCATTTTAAGCTGTAGCATGGTAGCATGATTACTCATCTATTTCTGCATTTATCATCATGAAACTTGATGTTCAGTAAATAACATATAAGTTTTTGGACTTACGACCTTCAGGATTATTGTCTCCTCCTTTTTGACCCATGTAGAAAAGGTCTTCAGCAACCCACGCTTGCTGTAAGAGGCGACTATGCTTGTCATAAGAGGTGACTAACGGGATCGGAGGGTCAGGCTCGCTGACTTGGTTGATACATGTCACCGTTTCCCAATTGCTTGGATCGATGTTCATGGTATCAATCACTGGATTGTCTGGTCCAGACTCGATTATTTACAGACCGCTGGAACATTGAGTGTGGCATTAAGCAACAAATATTAATAAACAAACAAACAAACAATCTCATCCTTTTTATCTCGTATCCTGCCAGTTTGACAACCCTGAATCTACTGGACATTTGATACTGAAATAATGTGTATATGTAGTCCAGGCAATGGTGTCACGAAAGCATTTTCATTTGATTCTGATCGTATTCTAAAACATGGCCAACCTGCGGGAATTCAAGGTCCCTTGAAAACTAAGCTTTTTGTAAGACAGGACTTAATGGATTAAGTGGTAGGCTAAGTAACTTGGTAGATATCATTTCTCAATTGCATGGATAGATGTTCATTATGTCAATCACTGGGTTGTTTGGTCGATAGTGGTGTAACAAGGCCCACGATACAATACATCAATTTATAACTCCTGTATCGCAATACATAAGATACATTACATCATATATCATGTATCAGATAAAAAAATTGCCGATCTTTGCATTAAAATCCTGTAAAGTTCATATCATTGGGTGTGTCTCGACCGAAACCCTGGTAGATTCCAAGAAAACATGTGTACAGCTGATTGCTGGTTCTGGCTTAGTTTACGAGAAAATACACAAGGTAATCTTAATCCCTGGATGTACAACAATGCCACGCAGAACAAAAAATACAAATTAAACGGTAAATCAACATATCTGGTGATTTTTTATCTCAAATTTCAAATTTGTACTGACAAAATTTCTTATCACCCGTTCGTTTACCGGAATTCGCTGAAGGGGTATAATGTAAATTTTTCCTGAGCATAATATTCAAAATTTCTTTATTCCAAAATACTGAATCCACTAGAGGGGGGTGCGCATTATACTTGGGTGTGCACTATACTCAAGAAAATACAGTAAGTTAATATTGGTTTAAAACACATGAATATAACAGAAACTGTCAAAACAACAACTTATTCAGTTTCTCTAGTATTTCCTGGTTGGCTATAAAAAGCATAACAGTTAGGGCTGGGAAGAGTCCAAATTTACTACCCAGGTACCCAACCCCCTATTACCCGACTCTACCCGGGTACCCGCAGGCCACAAAGTTGCGACTAAATTGGTCGCCATGGCGATCTAGTTTTGTGTTTTGCGACTGGTATTTTCATGTCAGTTGCCAACTGGCTCCTTGTCTTTAATTAAGTTTGGCGACTATAATGCGCACCCCCTTCGACACAGCTGTGGGTTTTTTTGGAAAAAAATGCGCAGTATACTCAAGAAAATACGGAATGCTTTGAATGGCGAAGCTGACACGGAAGTTTCATCGTCTGTCGACACGTTCGATGAACCAAAACCTGCAACTGGCACCAGTAAACTGTCAGATGATGTTACTGACACAATGTTCTTAAGCTTGTCTGATGGATTTACTGACAGATGTCCTAAAGCTTGTCTGATGATGTTACTGACACAATGTTCTTAAGCTTGTCTGATGGATTTACTGACAGATGTCCTAAAGCTTGTCTGATGATGTTACTGACACAATGTTCTTAAGCTTGTCTGATGGATTTACTGACAGATGTCCTAAAGCTTGTCAGATGATGTTACTGACACAATGTTCTTAAGCTTGTCTGATGGATTTACTGACAGATGTCCTAAAGCTTGTCTGATGATGTTACTGACACAATGTTCTTAAACTTGTCTGATGGATTTACTGACAGATGTCCTAAAGCTTGTCTGATGATGTTACTGACACAATGTTCTTAAGCTTGTCTGATGGATTTACTGACAGATGTCCTAAAGCTTGTCAGATGATGTTACTGACACAATGTTCTTAAGCTTGTCTGATGATGTTACTGACAGATGTCCTAAAGCTTGTCTGATGATGTTACTGACACAATGTTCTTAAGCTTGTCTGATGGATTTACTGACAGATGTCCTAAAGCTTGTCAGATGATGTTACTGACACAATGTTCTTAAGCTTGTCTGATGATGTTACTGACAGATGTCCTAAAGCTTGTCAGATGATGTTACTGACACAATGTTCTAAAGCTTGTCTGATGGATTTACTGACAGATGTCCTAAAGCTTGTCTGATGATGTTACTGACACAATGTTCTAAAGCTTGTCTGATGGATTTACTGACAGATGTCCTAAAGCTTGTCTGATGATGTTACTGACACAATGTTCTAAAGCTTGTCTGATGGATTTACTGACAGATGTCCTAAAGCTTGTCTGATGATGTTACTGACACAATGTTCTAAAGCTTGTCTGATGGATTTACTGACAGATGTCCTAAAGCTTGTCAGATGATGTTACTGACACAATGTTCTAAAGCTTGTCTGGTGGATTTACTGACAGATGTCCTAAAGCTTGTCTGATGATGTTACTGACACAATGTTCTAAAGCTTGTTTGTCTGAAAAACTCAAAAGCTTCAACAACAGTTGTTGTTCATGATATAACACTGATTATTCAAACTAATGGATTTTTGTGTGTTTTGTTGTGCAGAAGCTCAGTTAAATTACAAGTCATTACTTTTGGCTCCTTACATTTTGCCTTGGCTCCTTGAAATTCTATTTGGCTCCTTGAAAAAATAATTTAGGAGCCAAGTGGCTCCTTTGAATTTTTTTTAACTTTGTGGCCTGACCCGACCCCCTATTACCAGATTCTACCCAGGTACCCGACCCCCTATTACCAGACTCTACCCAGGTACCCGACCCCCTATTACCCGACTCTACCCAGGTACCCGACCCCCTATTACCAAACTCTACCCAGGTACCCGACCCCCTATTACCCGACTCTACCCAGGTACCTGACCCCCTATTACCAGACTCTACCCAGGTACCCGACCCCCTATTACCGAACTCTACCCAGGTACCTGACCCCCTATTACCAGACTCTACCCAGGTACCCGACCCCCTATTACCAGACTCTACCCAGGTACCCGACCCCCTATTACCCGACTCTACCCAGGTACCTGATCCCCTATTACCAGACTCTACCCAGGTACCCGACCCCCTATTACCCGACTCTACCCAGGTACCCGACCCCCTATTACCAGACTCTACCCAGGTACCTGACCCCATATTACCCGGCTCTACCCGGGTACCCGACCCCCTATTACCCGGCTCTACCCAGGTACCCAACCCCCTATTACCCAACCCTACAGGGTACTCGCTGCAGCTCTCAAGTTAGTTACAATTGTTTAATTAGGAATTGTTTTCCAGAGCCCTGACAATAAGTACTTAAGTATATTATAAAATGATCTGGTCATACACACTGAAGTTGACTGAAGCTTTGACTGTTCTCAAATACCGTATTCGACGTAATAAGCGCCCCGCTCTAATAAGCGCCCACGGCAATATTTGCTAATATATTGGCTAGTGAACAATCCCAAAAAGCACCCCTTCCGATTGATCAATGTACAGAAGACTTATTTATTCGTGTATAATACGCACTCGTGTGTTATATCATCCTTAATTATGGGCAATTAAATTCTTGAAAAATATATCTGTTGTATTTAAACATTTCAGGCTGTTAGCATAAACCACGAAATTTACGATCTTTCAACTCAAAATAATATTCTAATAAGCGCCACCTATTTCTATTGAGAGCGCCCTGGGCGCTTATTACGTCGAATACGGTATATAAAAATCAGAGGGAATGTCTGCATAGTCAGAAAAAAAGTGGAACATAAGCACTTTGTTGTGTAACCATGGAAATTTATTGTTATTGTCATTAAACAATATATCACGTGACAAACCACGGGTCCAGGTAGTCATGTGGGTACTCGGGTCCTACTCAGGATCCACCCGAGTACCCAATTTTTAATTTTCCCTGCAGTGTTTTATTGTACGATAAACAACAACCACAAGGAAAGGTTTATCATGACATGAAACAATGACACTTTTATCCAAATCTGTTACCAGGACAACGAGAAGACCTGGAACAACACCTGGCCTCGGTTCACCAGCTGTTTCCAGTCCACGGTGCTGGTGTGGGTGCCGTGTGCGTGGCTGTGGCTGACGGCGCCGTTCTACATCTACTACCTCTGTACAGTCAGTCCACAGGTTTTGTCATCAGTGGCCAAATATTTAGTAAAATTGGTGAGAATTTGTTTTGAAAAAAATGTTGAATGTGTAAGATGTTTTCCTTATTGGCTATCTTGAAACGAGAATTACTTTTCTTATATCTTAAAAATATTTTCTTAATGTCATTAATAAATATTTGAGAATATATCAGTGATATATTTTCACTTTGCGGGTGTCAAAATATGAAAATATTAACTTGATTAAGAGAATATGTTTTAGGAGAATAAGGCTAGATTGAATTTCTAATTCTTAACCCTATTTTTTAATTATATTGCACATTTATATACCATACTCATCCAGATACTAGTATCCAGGTACTAGTAAATGTGGTTTCTTTGTTCCCCTACCAGTGAATCCATATGCATTCTATTTATCATTCTCAACTCCCTGGGGAGTATACAACCCAAGCTGCCCATGGGCGCGAGAGGGTTTTTACATTCACCTCATCGGTTGAAACCTCATCAGCTGGTACCTCATCAGGTACCAGTTCCATGCTGGGTGAACAGAGGCACATTTGACACCACACGTTCTGACACTTGTGTTTCGGGTGTGTGAACGTATTCGTGTTTCCACCATCTGGTCACCCACCATCGGATGAGTGGGTTCTATTGAGTGCACAGGGTGTGTAAAACATCTGTGACCTCATTTTATTGTTTAACGCTCCATTTTTGTCAGGAATGGACAAATTTTTGTCAATTCTACATGATTTTGAACCAACATTCAGACAGATCTATCTATTTTTCATATCATGACAAGTGAAAGATTTCGTGCTGGTTGTAGGGTCAGGGCAGTTGTTTGTTGCTTTTACGATAACAATGAAATTTTTATGGTGTGAACATGTACTTTGTATGACTATTTAGCATGTTTTAAAAAGTGTTTTTTTTCAATAAATATCCTCAGATTGAGCTGTGACTAGTTGGATTTGGCCAATGTTGTCTGTCCAAAAAGCCTGTGTGATCGGTGTTCAGCCCAAATTAACACAAACTCTCTTGAGATCTGAAAAGGGAAAAAGAGAATAGTTCATGCTTCGTCAATGATGTTTTGTACTGTTTTTAATTTGAAGTTTACACGATATATGTCTTTTCTATTGGTAGTGTTTTTCATGAGACCATGTTCTTAAAATGACGTAAACACTGAAGGACCACTTCCACATTCCTGGGGAAACCCCTTGGAATTCCCTAGCACGAAAACATGCAGAAGCGTTCTTTCTGATCATTTAGACCCTTTAATCTCGGACTCAGCATTTCAGTATACATTGAGAAACGTCTGAGTTCGACTGCATGATTGTCACGATTATCCTCGCTATGACCCATCCTTATGAACAAAATGAACTCGATCCGTTTCTAGGCTGACAGTGAAAGTCTACAGCAATCTATGAATGTACGTTAGTGTCTGTTTGACACATCTTTAATCACCTTTCAAAGATCGACCAGTTGACACATGTAACCGCCACAGGTTCATTAACAACTTTGGAAATCTCTCCCGTCACGTTTATCGTGTCGGCCATTTTGACGTCTTGTACTTGATGTAAATGTATTACGACACGCTGTCATTGTAACAGACCTTTCTCAACTAATGGGGATATTATTTGAGTACATTTGTTCTGAAGAAACTACAAACGTTGTCTCTATTGAGCATGTTTAGCATACATAAGCTCATGTCAACTCTCGTTTTGAGGAACTATCTTATTCCGCGATAAAGTTGGTTGTTGTATGGCTGTCACACATACTAAATATATGATTGCGTATAGATCGAGGTCTATGTCCTTTGAGGTAAAAGTAGTGATATAAAAAATTATAAGAATAGACTTTCACTTTGTGTGAGTTCATTGGAGTATGAACCTTCATAGAGTGAGGACCAAGCTCCGACGTGCATACAGTTTGGCCCCGACTCTGCAATAAACCTACGCAAAGTGAAAGTCAATTCTTAAATGACCACAGTTACTTTGAATATAGCTTTTACACAAAACCCTCTTTCAGTTGGGTTGTGCTCTCCTCCTTCTGCTGTCTATAGTGGACATCGTCCAGTCTGTCAGTGACCACCGGACGAAAGGCAGCAACACCTACTTCCTGGCTGATGTTGTTGCACCCAGTGTACAGTCTCTCACGTTTGTAAGTACATCTCGCTAGCCCTTTGTTCATACAGGTTTCACCAGATGCAAAATATAGTGTCTTATATACCTTATGGATGCAAATAGAATTCACTGGAGCCGTGAAGATCCGGTGTAGAATAGGTCTTCAGCAACCCATGCTTGGCGTAAAAGGCTACTATGCTTGTGGTAAGACGCGACTAACAGGATTGGGTGGTCAGACTTGCTGACTTGGTTGATGCATGTCATCGATCCCAACTGCGTGGATCGATGCTCATGATATTAATCACTGGATTGTCTGGTCGAGACTTGATTATTTACAGACCGCCGTCATATAGCTGGAATATTGCTGAGTGCGGCGTTAAACAACAAACGAACAAACCAAATGGGATGCAGATGGGATGCAGATGTAAGTATGTCATAATACTGACCTAATGCTCACCATGCTTACATGCTCTGAAAATCCCACAATCAACCGAAATCCGCAGTTCAGTCACCATGTTGTTTATGAACCCAATGTTGATTTCGTTCTACAATTTTGATTGGACCATGCATTGACACCTTAGTCCAGTCAAAATATAACTCATGATTTCCGCCTAGTTCGACAAGTGTGGAAAGTGGACTTTTACAGTCAGTTATCTCCCTTGTCTCGGGAAAATGGGCGACGTCATGTGTGACGTGTGTTTTTCTGTTGCAGCTCCTCGCCCTGTTGTTTATATTCCTGGAGAGGAGGAAGGGCCTCATCACATCAGGTGTCCTGTTCCTGTTTTGGGTGTTTCAGATAGTTGCCGGCATCGTGCCCTTTTACTCCAAAATAAAACTGCAGGTAAGTTTCTTATCAGAAATGTTAATGACTAGGTCTCGGATTTGTTTTGAGGATGACAAAACTCTTGAGTTTGATGTATTACTCTATTATAAATACTGCCAGGAGCACCATTCTGCAGGATAATTTTTTACCTAATTTAATTTAACCCCATTACTTTTTACTTAAATTAAAATACATGTATGATTTTAAAAAACTTTTATGTATCAGCAGACCAATAGTTTAACAATTACAATTAACTTCATCCAACCTAGTCTATGAACCATGTTCACCAACTTCATTTGCAATACTGGCGATATATACCATATCTGACATAAAAAGCGTCCAGGGTGCTCTCAAAATTAGAAATAGGGGCTCTTATTAGAATATTTTTTTGGTGAAAAACAACAGAGTTGAACATCTTGAAAGATCGTAAATTTCATGGTTTATGCTGACAGCCTGAAATGTTTATATACCACAGATATATCTTTCCAGAATTTAATTGCCCATAATTAAGGGTGCATGTAACAAATGTATTATGCACGCATAAATAAGTCTTGTGTACATTTATCAATTGGAAGGGGTGCTAATTGGGATTGTTCACTAGCCAATATATTTGGAAATATCACAGTGGGGGCTTATAAGAGCAGGGTGTTTATTACGTCGAATACGGTATTCATAATACCAGAAGACCATTTAATAAAGATAGAAACCATGGTAACCCTTTGATGAAACCCTGTGATTAATAAAACCTATTATTTATTATACTTGATTTACATCTGCTTTATGTAATCAACTAAGAAAGTTTATCATTATGTTTTGATATTATTTTCAACCTCCAACCCCTAAAATCAAAGTGTAATTTTAAACATGTTATGATGATGATGACGACAACGACGACGACGACGCAACGACATGAGACATTGATATGTGACTCACTTACCTGATGGCAAGAGCTATGTTTGTGATTATGAAGATGTAGATGTTAGATGTACAGAGTAAGATAAATCTGAGAAAGATGGTTAGGAGATGAGCAAACTGTGTTTGCAATGTTGAGTATGTTACCTGTAGAATTACCTGGGCTAAATTGAATTAGGAACCAAAAACGCAGCTTAAGGTTTCTAATGTTAAATTTGATGTGATTTGATACCTCTGATTGACCAATCAGAATCGAGTATTTACCAAATTATGGTACAATAATGATTCACAATTCTAGCAACTGTGTTTACAAATGCAGGCAGTTCTCAAAAGGGGCTAGGGTTGGGGCGAGTCCAAATTTACTACCCGGGTACTCGACACCCTATCACCCGGCCATACCCACTATAGGTCTCAAGAGTTGGGTACAAAATGTCTGAATGGGAATTGTTTTACCACAGCCCTGGTAAAAACTATTTAGATACACATATAAAACGATCTGATCATGCATACACTGCAGTTGATAGATGCTTTATCCTTACTCGAACACACAAAAGTCAGAACGAATGCCTACATAGGTGAGAAAGAAATGTGAACATTAGCTCTACTTGTAGTGTAACCATTGAGTTTTATTGTTATTGTCATTAAACAGTATGTCACGTGACTAACCACGGGTCCAGGTAGTCATGTGGGTACCCTAATAGGGGCGCTTTCATGACTTACCTGCCTGTCTGGCTTGTGGAGCATAGCTTACTTCAGACACTGACCAGATGACAGCTGACTACAACACCAGCAGACCAGTACAGTCAAGTCCCGTTAATCTGAAATGGTTGGTTGCATATGATATTGTCAGATTAACGAGTATGTTGGATAAACGAAATTAAGTAGAATCAACATTCCTGATCGATAATCGGACAATTACACGATAGATAACGGAACAAACACTTAATAAAAAAAAAAATATGAATTTGTTTTGTTAAATTGTTAGTGGAATATGTTAAGCAATTATTTATAAAGAAATTATTTAAAGCATTAGTTGTTTATTGTTAAGCAAGTTTATCTCTGCAGCCGTTGTAATATGCAGCTACCAGCCGACTCGTGTCGCATCAAAACATGGGGCTGTGTACTCGCAGGTAGATGACCATAGAGTACGCTGATCACTGTGTCGGATTAACAAGACTGATTATTGAGTGATTTCAGTAATTCGTGGCAAATTAGGTGTGTCGGAGTCGAAGTGCGAGACTGTCGGATTAACGGGACTGATATGATCGGCTCCCATCATTAGTGTCGGATGAAGCCGATTGTCGGATTAACGAGTTTCGGATTAACGAGACTTGACTGTATTTCCTGGATGAGTTGTTGTGTTGCAGACATACCAGCAGGACGTACTGAGGTTCAGCTTGTTCTACATCTACTACTTCCTGGTGCTGGTTGAGTTTGGCTTCAGCTGTTTTGCTGAGACAGCCTGGAATCCCCCATCACAAAAGGTGATACAATTTGCCCTTGACCTTGGGTATTTGAGGATGTTTCTCATTGCGATTAATAGCAAGAGATTTCCCTGTTGAGATTCTCGGACAGAATGGGTCCTCCTGTATGTCATATTGTCACTGGAAGTGACTCATATGTATGTATGATTGTGGGAGCTGGCAGATTGAGCTGACTACAGTGGATGTATAATTGTGTGAGCTGGCAGATTGAGCTGACTACAGTGGATGTAGGATTGTGTGAGCTGGCAGAGCATATATTGGCATACCCAAGGGCATAGATCATTGATGATGGTATCAGTCTTTTGTTCATCAGGGCAAAGACTATTTCATGTGTACCAAACACAGAAAGAGTTGCGAGCTATTGACCACTTAGTGTTATTCTGTTTATCTGTTGAATTAAGAACCATGCCACACCAGCCATATTTAAGAAAAAAACATTTATCATTTACATTTTCTCTCCATGTTTTGTTTGTTGTTTAACACCGTCTGTTGTTTAACACCGCACTCATCAATATTCCAGCTATATGATGGCAGTCTGTAAATAATCAAGTCAGAACCAGACTATCCAGTGATTGATATCATGAGCATCGATCCACACAATTAGTATACGATCACATGTATCAATCAAGTCAGTGAGCCTGACCACTCGATCCCGTTAGTCGCCTCTTACAACAATCATAGTCGCCTTTCACGGGTCCTCTCGATATGTAATGACATTTGGTATACTGGTATCTCTGTGTAGCTAGTAGTGAGGCCTAACACATATGTTCCGATTGTCACGACATTTTGTAAGGTTTGACCTTCATTTGATCTTTGCAGTTCTACCATGCTGACAGCTGAAACGTCTTTTGGCCATTATTCTGCCATTTTCCTTCAAAATGTATTGACATTTGGTACATATGTACTTTGTAGTGGGGCTCAACACTATGATCTGTTTTTCGTACTAATTTTTAATTTTGAACTTGATTTGACATATGCACTTCTACCAAACTGAAAGCTGAAACGTAACAGAGAAATCCTTACGTGTACATGTGCTCATGTTGACAGATCCGATGTCCGGAGACCGAGTCATCCTTCTTGTCCAGGATTACATTCTGGTGGAGTAACAGGTCAGTGGACAGAACCCACTCCTCATCCCAGCATGGTCCCTCTGCTCTGCTGCAACATGCGTACAAGTGTAGTCTTTGTCCAGGAAAAATATATTTGTGTTATCAACAATATTTGACTGTTTTGCTCAACAAAATTTTCGATTTTACATATCTTTTGCATCTAATAATATAAGATAACCCAAGATACAGTTAAATGTGTTCAATCATACTGTATAATACTGTAAGTTCCGATGTGTTGTAAGTTGCATCTGGAATATTTATATGACATGGGCGAAATATACGTGAATTATTACGCAACGAGTTCACAATTCTTTTAACTTGACCTGCTTGCACTTAGACAGAACCCAGTTGCAAAAATGGCCAGGAGACAAGCACAAGTCGCTATTTTGCTAGCTCCGGAAAAACACAAGCTGGTCCTGAATGATGTTAGTTTATGTATCTGTGTTCCTGTTGCCATGGAAACAATATATGGCCACGTCCATGTGTTATCTATATCCTCCCTTTCCAGGTTACTTTTCCAAGGATACAAAAAGGCTCTCACCGAAGACGACGTGTCTGATCTCCACCCTCGAGAAAAGTCAATTAATGTTGTGCCTCGTTTCCTTGTCAACTGGAACTATGAAGTTGAAAAAGCCAGAGAAAAGTAAGTACACATTGGTCTTGTGCACTTGGATTTGCATGTTTCTCTGCTGTTTATCACAAGGCAGGGGTCCTTTTAAGGACTTGATTTAACTTGCACCCGGTGCTTGTTGAAATGAAAAGCTGGTTGCACCAGACAAAACCAGGTTGCACTTTGGTACCATGAAGTTAAAACATTGAGGCATAAACTAGTCCGATGACTGTGTTGATCATTTGTCAGGAATTACACATAACACAGGAATTAGTTACGTAGTATGAAGTGGACAAGTAGGGTTAATTAGTTAGACAACTTTTTAAAAAATTTGTATATGCACTTGGTGCATGTAGACATTACTGTTAGACTGCATTTTTCAATAAAAGGTTGCACTGATGCATGTTTTAAATAGTTAAATTGAGCCTTGATGGGAAGAAATATTGACGATGATCGATATGAAACTGTTGTCATCAATAATAACTCACATAAGCTATTATGATGAAATAAAGTTTAGATTTACCCAAACAGACTTATCATTGTCCATAATGTCAATTGTTGAAGATGGAGAGCAAGTGTTTTGTTATTTCTCAAATGTCCACAAAGTAATCTTTGCATAAATGTGTCACTGCTCCCCAGTGGCGTAAAATCTGTTGATTTCTTATGGGACTTTCTTGCACATTTACTTTCGGTTCCTTCGCCAATATTTATCAATGATTGTTGAATGTTTAGTTAGATAATCGATCTCCACTGCAAGGTTATCGTGACTGAACTAAGGTTATTGACAGTGCTAGGCTGAGTGTGGGAGGGAAAGTTGAATAAAGAGGCAGCTGTATTGGGTCTCCTTGCAGTCCCAATCACACACCAAATAGCACCGCTTATTAGCGCTGAGTAGAGTACTTCCGCTAAAACAATACATGCACTGGCTCGTGTCTGCCTTTGACGCAGTCGCAAAGAACAAAGACACTGTGTAGCGTGGGTGGCGTCTGTCTGGACTTGCAGGTGTGATCAGTGATGACATGAGTGAGTAGAACGCTTGTCTTGACCCAAGCAGTGACAATTCACAGGATGTAATTAGAGTTTGAATGACATTTGTTACAAATTCTGCTCAATTAACAGTGATGTTGAATACATAGTTGTTTGTTTTCAGCATATGTCTAAGTTGGTATTTCTGCTATCTAAAATGTCTTATTGTTGATATAAATGCGATGTTTAATAATGCAAGCAAAGGCCACTCACATTTTTCGCATTTAATTCACGCTCGCATTAATTTCAAGTTTTGCAGTATTATTTGGGAATATATAAATGACATGATGTTATCTCCATCAGCCTAGCAATATCAGATTACCCTAATTACAAATCAACAGTGACTCAAGTTGTCTGTAGAGACTATTCATGTCTTGACTGTACTGAAAATATCATCAAACCATTGTCCTCCATTTTAATTGCATCACCTGTGAAGATCTGGATTAGAATTGGTCTTCAGCAACCCATGCAGGTCGTAGAGGCGACTAACAGGATCAGGTTGTCAGGTTTGCTGACTTGGTTGATGCATGACACCATATGCCAATTGCGAAGACTGATGCTCATCATATCGGTCACCGAATTGTTTATTGTAGACTTTATTATTTACAGATTGCCTTCATATAGCTGGAATATTGCTGAATGCGGTTTTAAACAACAGACAAAAACTTTGAGTTGCATCCAAAGCTTGATGTTAGAATAGCTTGTTATTCTTCTGAATTCTTTTTCATTGGGGTTCTTAAAATATATAGAAATAGTTCATTCTCAGGCAGAAGGTTTCAATAATATATGCAGATGATTTCTCTCACTCTGTGTTTGACGATGGGAGGAGAATGTTCATATCTGTTTATATATTTATTGTTTTAGTCTTTGTAGTATAACTGAGATTATTAACTTGACTTATATTGGCTCAAGATATTGACATTTTTATCCCCCCAGCATATAAAGAAAGCAGGAATTGTTTATTTTTTTCCTATATCCATGGCAACAAGACCATATATCTAAAAGTAATGGATATTCTTTCATGACACTTTGCTCACACTAAGACCAGGTTTTGTGCCTTTTGCTATTTAGGGGTGTTTAGAATATGTTTTTTCCCGTTTCCATGGCAACAAGTTGTACTTTGACTCTGTTCATAGTGGTGTGTTTGTCCGGGCCATATCTCTAACACTAACAGGTATTCTTTCATTAAACTGTACACACTCAAAGACCAGTTGTCAACTGGTACCTTTTGCTATTTAGGGATTTCTAGAATTAATATTTTTTTCATTTCCGTGGCTACTTGTTGGACTTTGACTGTTCATATTGATGTGAACCTGACACCGAAATTAAAGTTCTGAATCCCAATTCCATGGTATTGTTTCAATAGCTCAATCACTACTCTTGTATACGGACTGACAGATCAGATAGAAATTCTCTCATCAAGTTGGACTTAAAGTAACAGTCAGATTATTTGTCCTTTCGAATATGTGGGGGCTGGAGGGATTTGTCATTTTCTGATGACTCTTGTTACCTTATTCGACGTAATAATTGCCCAGCTCTAATAAGCACCCACGGCGATATTTGCTAATATACTGGCTGGTGAACAATCCCAATTAGCACCCCTTCCGATTGATCAATGTACACAAGACTTATTTATTCGCGTATAATATTATACGCACTTGTGTGTTATATGCACCCTTAGTTATGGGCTAATAAATTCTGGAAAAATATATCTGTCGTACATAAACACTTCGGGCTGTCAGCATAAACCACGAAATTTATCTTTCACCTCTGTTTTTTCACCAAAATAATATTCTAATAAGAGCCCCCTATCTCTAATTTTGAGAGCGCCTTGGGCGATTATTACGTCGAATACGGTATTATGACTTATCCTGTGATCTTGTGAATACAGTTCCTGCTTTCTCTTGAAGGGCTCGCAGACAAGGCAGACAGTCAGATCCACTTGCAAGTGGATCCTCCAGCTCTCAGGACAGCAATGAGTACACTCCACTCATACCAAAACAAGCACCTGCCGAGGAGGCCAAGTCAGACAAAACTGGACCATTACCATCACTTGTTCTTGCTCTGTGGAAAACCTTCGGTCTGGAGCTCCTCCAGTCTCAGTTCTGGAAACTTCTATATGATGCCCTGTTATTGTGCAACCCACTCCTACTTGGGTGAGTTTTGTCACCGACAGGCTACACTGACATTACAAAGTGAAATGAAGGTTTGTACTTCAATATACAGCTCAAAACAAGTTAAAGAACACCCACAATTGGAAGGCTGTGTGTTGCAATACCCACCAGGCTTAACAGATTAACTGGAGTCATTTGAAAATATTGGGTGTTCTTTGACTTCTTTTGAATAGAATATTATACAGGTAATTCCTCCCTGGTCAATATGCGAAAACCCGAGGACTCAAACCCTGAGGTTATCAGACTGCCGATGGAGTCGGTTCGGAGTGTCCTTGATTTCGCATGTTTACCTCGTCAAGTGCAGTCATTCATTTTGTTAAACTAAAAATTCACTTTAAAGTTTTTGAAGCCTTTAAACCATCCTCTTTCATTACAGTTACTTAGCTGTGGACTGTAAAATGTCAGCATACCACTGCCAAACGCCATCTTGTTTTCTGACAGACAAGTCAATATTCATCACGAGTCAGGTTAATACCAATCATGTGACGAGTCAATATTCATGGTCAGTGTCAGTCACATGATTTGAGGGTCTACATTCGAATGTATTGTTTTGTCACATGGTACGGATTAACCAATGGAATTGCAAGATTCTTAATAGAGGTATAACAGCATGAATTACACCTACTGAAGTCTTTGATTATTCATATGAAAATATGAAGGTTATTATTTTGGGAGTGTTTAATCATTTGTCATTATTGACTCGCTGCAGGGAAAGTCTGTATAACAAGAACTGAGACATGGCCTTAGGATCATATTTCACACACATCAAAGAATAAGGTGTATATATTCTAAGGTAACAAAACAACTTTCCTCACCTACAGACAGCTGATAGAGTTTGTAGAAAACAACCAGACCGAAGAATGGAAGGGCTACACGTTCGGCGCCATCTTGTTCGCATCCATGTCGCTACAGTCAGTCTTCTTCCATGCCCTGTGGCATCAGTCCACCTCCCTGGGTCTGAGAGTCAGGGCCAGCATCATCTCCGCAGTCTTCAGGAAGGTCAGCGTCTCCGGCATCTGTTGGACTCTGCCAACTGCTTGAACATCAGGAACTGCAACTCAGTTTAAGATCCCATTCAAAATGCTGAAGTTGTGGTGTCAATCTCATTAAAATCAAATCTTTGTTTAGCGGCAGCGAGAACTTAGATCTGATTTTAATGAGATTGTTGTGGTGTTAAAAAAAAAGGATCTTATACAGATAATCTCCGAATATATCAGTTGATAAAAGTTACAAATATCCAAGATTTTCCAAAGATATATATCCTTGTGTTAACATGTGTTGATATGTTTGAGGTTTGTTGAGCTTGTAAGACATGAGGGGAGGGGGAGATTCAATTTTCATCCAAAATCATTATTCCAAATTTTCATTTTATTTTATGTGTGAAAAGTATGGCATACAATCTTCAGTAGCAGAGAGATCAGTGATGTCATTTGATTCTGACGTCATGGTAACTGATGATGTCACAATGGTCTGAAAAACATTGTGATGTAATTTCACTGTCGCGATATCTCCTTGGAGATATATCCCTTCATATCAGCCAAGCAATATCTCCTGTGGAAGCCAGTTTCGGATGACAAAATAACTCCCACGGGAGATATCACTTGTGTGAGATCACTTTCTCCAAGGAGATATTGTTTTGACTGATTTTGTTCTACATACTGATTGTATTAACTTATTACACGAGCGAAAGTGAGCCTGAAAACCACAGTCAACAGACTATGAAGTAAAGTTTTCCTGTGGATTTATAAATTTTCAATTTGCCCGGAGTCAGCATACTGTGTCTGAGTGGGGTATTCATGTTAAACTGTGGCATGGTATCTTAGTGGGTTAACACTAGGGCTCAGTCCAGAGTAGTACAAGCAGACACACAAGTGATTGCATGTTGGTATATAAGTGCAATAATCTTTGACGAGACATTAAACCCCATTTCACCTCACCTCTCCTTGTTGCAGGCATTGTCCATCAACAACCAGGCCCGCCGTGAGTCCACAGTGGGGGAGATAGTGAACCTGATGTCGGTGGATGCGGAGCATGTGGAGGGGGTGTTTGGGTGGCTGTGGTCCACGTGGTCCAGCCTCCTCCAGATCTGTGTCTCCCTCTACCTGCTCTACAACACACTGGGCGTGGCTATGTTCGCTGGCCTCGGCTTTCTGCTCCTCCTCTTCCCCCTCAACGGCATCATCATGACCAAGCTAGGCAAGTACCAGACGCAGCTGATGGAGCAGAAGGACATCCGGATGAAAATGGTAAACGAGGTGCTCAGTGGGATGAAGGTGAGGCTGGATACAAATCAAGTCAGTTTCATAGAACCTAAAAACGATTTGTTAAAAATGATGTAATTTCCTTTGGGCCTAAGTATGTCATATGTTTTATGAGATTGGATGAGGAACAGGATTTGATGGCTTACTCTATTAATACATTTGATAAGATAGACAGTGATGTTTTTTGGCAAGGCACGATTAATTTATTATCGTATTCGACGTAATAAGCGCCCGGGGACTCACAAAATTAGAAGTTGGGGGCTCTTATTAGAATATTATTTTGGTGAAAAAAACAGAATTGAAAGATAAATTTCATGGTTTTGCTGACAGCCTGAAATGTTTATATATACGACAGATATATTTTTCCAGAATTTAAATGCCCATAATTAAGGGTGCATTTGGCACACGAGTGTGTATTATACGCGAATAAATAAGTCTTTTGTACATTGATCAATCGGAAGGGGTGCTAATTGGGATTAATCACTAGCCAATATATTAGCAAATATCGCTGTTTAGAGCTGAGCGCTTATTACGTCGAATACTTTAATTATCAAATAATGATGATATTGAACAGGCTGCTCATGAAGTCCGAGACTTCACACCAAAGAGGAACAATCTACCAGCCTGCATTTAGATTGCATTCTCAACTCCCTGGGGAGTATAGACATACTTGATGCTGCAGCTACGACTGGCAGCTTTTCTTGCTCTTAATTCACACTATACATGTAACATGTTTAAGGATTGCTTATCATATCTTGTATTTTTCTCTTATTGAAGGAAATCTTAAGTTCTCCTTAGATTAATTTGAAAAATATGGAAAACGATTATTATTAATTTTAGAAAATGAATCATCTTTTCGTAGAACAGAAGTCCAAGTGATGTGTTAAAACTAGGGGCGCGTTGCAAGCCACAAATGGCTTAGAGAAAACAAATTCATCGCTGAACCCAGGGTCTGCAACAGTTCGAAGCGCTTGCGCACTCTTCCAAAATGGGGGCACAACTACCGCTTGGTTGCCTTGACGTTTGTTTGTTTGTTGTTTAACGCCGCACTCAGCAATCTTCCAGCTATATGACGGCAGTTTGTAAATAATCGAGTATGAACCAGACAATCCAGCGATTGACATCATGAGCATCTATCCACGTAATTGGGATATGATGACATGCATCAACCATGTCAGCGAGCCTGACCATCCGCGTAATGAAGAACGTAATAGAAGAGGCTCGATGACCAGCTGATGAAATTTATGACTACTTTGAAGATGTGGAGCAGACTGAGGATGATGGGGTGTTAGCTAAATTTGCTCATTTTCTCATTGATCCAGTCATGAATTCCTTGTTCCGCTGTCAAAGTAAGCCGCCATTTTGGTTTGAGAACGAAGCGACCTCAGTCAGCGATTGTTTCGCTTGCAAGCGGCTGAAAGTTAGCGCACTGTTGTAAGGCGAATCGCTGTACATCGCTGTACATTGCAACGCACCCTAGGTAACCAGGTTCAGTTGCAGAGACATTAGTGATGTCATTTGGTTGTGGCATCATAGTAAGTCACTAACTGATGATGTCACAGTGGTCTGCAAAACCCAAATGATATCTCTTGTGGAAGCCAGTTTGGGATACTATGTGCAGTCCTCACACACTCATACAGCACCCAGTGAACATGACTCCCTGTCTCTCCAGATACTGAAGCTGTATGCCTGGGAGGACTCTTACAAGGAGAAGGTGAAGGAAGTCCGGGACCGGGAACTGGCCATTTTGTTGAAATCTTCCCTTATCTCCAGCTCCCTCACATTCTCATGGACTGTGGCGCCATACATGGTTTGTTTATTTGTGTTTGTTTGTTTGTTTGTTTTCCTTATTCATCAATATCAGCTATATGTCGGTGGTCTGTAAATAACTGAGTCTGGACCAGACAACCAAGCAACTGAATTGGGAACCTGTGGGGAATCCGGGTTAGACTTGGTCCTAGGAAACCCATGCTGGTTCAGGGCATGAAAATGTACCCCGACTGTATGGTATGTTGCTGATTGTCTGGTCAAGCCTCTATTGTGAAGCTGCCGTCATATGGGTGAAATATAACTGAGTGTATTACACACACACAAGTGGGCTTTCAGAATTGGTCAAGTAGTAAGTATCTTGGTCTTTATAAGTTAAAGATATACATTGTATCACTTAACACTGTACCATGATTTTGGAAATAAGCGACGAGTGGGATTTGTTTATTGTACAATAAAACTGCAGGGAGAATAAACCATGAGGGGTTGTAGCCCGGGTGTTTTTGTCTCCATGCAGTGTTTTATTGTACAATAAACAATGACCACAAGTATTCACCAGTATTTATATAATGATGACTTCCTGAATAGAATCCGACCTCAGAAATGTCAGACAAGTCCATTTTACGAACAGGTGGGTTAAATTTGGTATTTCCTGCATATTCTTACAATCATCACGTTGATCATCTGTACCTTTTCTCCTAATACCGATTGTTATATCTCTCCCACTTTTGGATGCGTTCGTTCGGCCACTGCGATTATCTATGTAGCCCAGCTACATCTATGGGAACAAATTTCTAGACACTTCCTTCTATAAAATAACATCTTCCAGTATATGACGTCATCAAGTTGCAAGCGCATATTAGAATGTCCAGAAATGATGTCATGATAGAACAATGTTTTATGATAGAAAAATGTTTTTAAAAACAAATGTGTGACCCAAATGCCTTGCAATCTCATTAGCAAAGCGCATGAATGGATTAACGATATTCACACTGTCCCTGTCTAACATCCAGCGAAACCACAGCATCACTTTCAGAGTGAGTGAGATGGGTTTTACGCCGCTTTTAACAGTATTCCAGTTATATTGCGACTTGTCAGCTTAATGTGGGAGGAAAGCCCAAAGTGATGCAGGTCTCAGATGTTTACCACTTCGGTGAAACCCACGAGCACGGGTATGGTGCTGACAAACCTAGAAACATAATCAGGGTAAACCGGGATTCGAACCCACAATCATAGGTTTCTGGCATGCCCAAGGGACACAACTCTGCACAGCGAATCGCAGCACCTTAGACGACTGGGCCACCCGTGCCCCCCACTTTCAGAAGAGGTACCCAGATTGGTTGTTGGTTTAAAGTTTATGAGAGCTAAGTTAGTGTTGAGCGAGTTGGAGCTGGCCACTTCTGGAATGAAGCTATGGGGAAACATGAAGGAATGGAGATACGTACCCTGGATAACCGAGGATGGGTATCTGCATGCTACACATTGTCAATGAGCATCCTTCTATAGAGCCTGCAGAAAGAAATAACATTTGCCTTTTCTCTACAGGTTTCCCTGGTGACGTTTCTTACCTACATCTACATAACTGAAGACCACTACCTCAACCCACAAACAGCCTTCGTTGCCATCTCACTGTTCAACATCCTTCGCTTTGCAGTCAACATGCTGCCGATGGTGCTGACAGATGTGGTCAAGGTCAGTGGGATGCGTGTCAGATATCAGTGTGACCTTCCTTGTTTCATACAGTGTCCTTTCTTGGGGCACATGTCTGTCTGTAGAGTTTGTTTGTTTGTTGTTTAACGCCACACTCAGCAATATTCTAGCTATATGATGGAGGTCTGTATGTAATAGAGTCTGAAGAAGACAGTCCAGTGATTGACATCATGAGCATCCAGAGCTACAGATAAGCAGCGTATTTGCGTAAAATACCTCCCAAAAATATTCAAAACCCATATGCTTTCAATTAACTTGCTTACAGAACGCATGTATTAAACGAAAAACTCAGATTTATAAACACAGCACGCGTAAATACCCAATGAAGCTTTTTCAGCATGTGTACAAAGGAGCTAATTTCCGAAACAAAATTACGAGCTAATTTACTTTCCAAGTCAAGCCTCTATATTTAGAACAGTTATACATCGTGTTATTCTGAACGTTTTAAGCAGGAAATCACGATATATATTAAAAATATGGAACTTCGCGAATGTATCGTGCTAGGTTACGAGCTGTGACAAAGATTTTTCATGCATATATTTTTGCATTAAACGTTGTGTCCGAGCCGAGAATTCAAGGCGACGAAAGCCGAGATGTCATTTGACTTACATTACACGCGATCGCACGAAACGATGGAAATAATAACTTAGATGTAAGTTTGATTACTTTTAGATATATTTTTGTTGATTTTATTTATCACTTTGTATAATATATTTAAAGATTTGCTTAAAATAGTCTTTATTTTGCTCTTTGACATGTTCGATGCGGACCCGTTGTCGAAATGTGTGTCCGAGAATTTTATTTTCAATAACATCGCGGGAAATAGTGAATTTTTTTTAATTTATTGATAAAAAATGATAAATTAGAATGGAATACGTATTTCAGACATTGTGAAATATGACAGATTTAATAAATGAATGATATTACAGGTAGATCTAGGTCCATAAAAATATATACTATTTTGACGTGACGTGAGATAAACACATAGGCCTATTGATGATTTGAGATTTGCCGAGCGCGCTCCCCCGCCTCGGCCTCGGTTAAACGGCTCATCGTCTATAACGCCCACCAATTATTTGGACCCCATTGGTAGCGCAATAACGAGCGATCACTGTATACATCCAAAACGTTATTTCATTATTTTTTTAAGTTTTAAAATGTTCACTAATTTGGGATAAAAACCAATAGAGTGATGAACAGATGAGTGAAAAAATATTGGTTTCCCAATGAAAAATGTTTTAACCCAATTGAAATAGAAACCCTAGAGTAAAAACTCAATTGCACAAAAAGTTATCTGGAGCTCTGAGCATCAATCGACACAATCGGAATACGATGACATGCATCAACCAAGTCAGCGAGCTTGACCATCCGATCCCGTTAGTCGCCTCTTACAACAAGCATAGTCGCTTTTATAGCAAGAATGGGTTGCTGAAGACCTACTCTACCCAGGATCATCATGGGTCTCTGTAGAGTGTCAATCAGTCCAATATATCAGAGTGAAGTTCCCTGTTTCAGGCAGTCATCTCAGTTAGGAGGATCAGCAAGTACCTCAGTCGGGATGATCTCGATGAGAGCAGCACTGGATTTGATCCTCTCCAGGGTGAGTTACTAGTTGTTAGCTGAGTACTTGGGTCCACAGGGTGAGTTACTAGGTGTTAGCTGAGTACTTGGGTCTACAGGGTGAGTTACTAGGTGTTAGCTGAGTACTTGGGTCCACAGGGTGAGGTACATGGTTTAGGGGCAGTACTGGTGTTGACCTCTTCAGGGTGAGTTACATGGTGTAGGGGCTGTACTGGGGATGACCTTTCCAGGGTGAGTTACATGGTGTAGAGGCAGTACTGGTGTTGACCTCTGCAGGGTGAGTTACACAGTGTGGGGGCAGTACTGGTGTCGACCTCTCCAGGGTGAGTTACACAGTGTAGAGGCAGTACTGGTGTCGACCTCTCCAGGGTGAGTTACACAGTGTAGAGGCAGTACTGGTGTCGACCTCTCCAGGGTGAGTTACACGGTGTAGGGGCGGTACTGTTGTTGACCTCTGCAGGGAGAGTTTCATGGCATAGGGCAAGTTCTGGTGTCGACCTCTCCAGGGTGAGTTACATGGTGTCGGGGCAGTACTGGTGTCAACCTCGCCAGGGTGAGTTACATGGTGTCGGGGCAGTACTGGTGTTGACCTCTGCAGGGTGAGTTACATGGTGTCGGGGCAGTACTGGTGTTGACCTCGCCAGGGTGAGTTACATGGTGTCGGGGCAGTACTGGGGTTGACCTCGCCAGGGTGAGTTACATGGTGTCGGGGCAGTACTGGGGTTGACCTCTCCAGGGTGAGTTACATGGTGTCGGGGCAGTACTGGTGTCAACCTCGCCAGGGTGAGTTACATGGTGTCGGGGCAGTACTGGTGTCGACCTCTCCAGAGTGAGTTACATGGTGTCGGGGCAGTACTGGTGTTGACCTCGCCAGGGTGAGTTACATGGTGTCGGGGCAGTACTGGGGTTGACCTCGCCAGGGTGAGTTACATGGTGTCGGGGCAGTACTGGGGTTGACCTCTCCAGGGTGAGTTACATGGTGTCGGGGCAGTACTGGTGTCAACCTCGCCAGGGTGAGTTACATGGTGTCGGGGCAGTACTGGTGTCGACCTCTCCAGAGTGAGTTACATGGTGTCGGGGCAGTACTGGTGTTAACCTCTGCAGGGTGAGTTACATGGTGTAGGGGCAGTACTGATGTTGACCTCTGCAGGGTGAGTTACATGGTGTCGGGGCAGTGCTGGTGTCTACCTCTCCAGGGTGATCGAGTTACATCGTGTAGGGGCAGTACTGGTGTCGACCTCTCCAGGGTGATCGAGTTACATCGTGTAGGGGCAGTACTGGTGTCGACCTCTCCAGGGTGAGTTACATGGCGTAGGAGCAGTACTGACAGTACAGCTGTTGATCTGTTTCCAATCTTGAGTTCTTCAGTTATGGATAGAATTATATGTAATTTATCAATCAGTTTTAAAATTAAGGAGGTTCCAGGAGCTAGAGGTTCAATCTTAGAATAAGTACTCCCCTATATCTTTGTAAACATGAGAGTTGTGGCAAGTTCCTCTTGACTTGCATGCTAATTAAGTTCAAACATTACCCTGTTGGCCAGGGTGCTGTATGTGTTCTGTTGTATTCTTCAGATGAAGCCATAGTCATTCGGAACGCTACATTTAGTTGGACTACAGAGATGGAACCAACACTGAAAGGGTAGGTACACCATCTTGCTTATATTCATTTCAAAACACAATTCTGATAAAACGTTTTTAAAATTTTTGAATTGTCTGTTGAGCAAACCCCTGTGGAATTCTCCAGTCACCGAGTTAGGGCTCCTCAATCTCATTAAAATCAGATCTTAGTTCTCGCTACCGCGAAACAAAGATCTGAGGACATCCCACTAGGGGTCACGTTAGAATGACCTTTCATCCGACCAATCAGAGCATCGCTTACCAGATCATGAAAGTGACAGTCGGATTCTAATCATGCAACCTCGAAAACTTTAACACGGGGTATTCCGAAAGATAGTTACAGGATCAACGACTGAATCCATACAATCTAGACCATCTATTAGCCATTTCAAAATGTTCTTTTCTTCAGGTTTCAAATTTTTTATCGAGAATTTGTCAAAATATGTTTCGAAGCGTAGTCGCCAATTTGAAATTAGTGCCGTAAAGCACGAGAAAGCTGCCTTCTGGTTGGCTAATGTTGACTTCTTGTCGGTCTTTTCATTGGTCGGTCAAAGTTTGCGCAAGGTCGGTCTGACGTGACCCGGAATGGGATGTCCTCAGATCTTTGTTTAGCGTTAGCGAGAACTAAGATCTGATTTTAATGAGATTAAAGGGCTCCTATACATTTTAGGAATTCTGGGTCAGGGTAAGTTTTCATGCTTTTATATCAATGGTCACGATATCAAAGGACAAGAGGTTGGGGATTCTGTGTACATGACTGTGGCATAAGTTACAAGCGACTTCCATGTTATCTTGTATACACATATATACCATAGTGAGTGAGTATGGTTTTATGTCACTTTCAGCAATATTGCATCAGGGGACACAAGAAATGGGCTTCAAACTGTGGGGAATCGAACCCGGGTCTTCCACATGACGAGCGAACGCTTTGACCATTAGGCTACCCCACTAACCCTTACACTGATCCGTGAAGATCCAGGTTAGAACTGGTCTTCAACAACCCATGCTGGTCATAAGAGGCGACTAACGGGATTTGGTGGTCAGGCTCGCTGACTTTGTTGATGCATGTCATCATATCCCAATTGCGTGGATCGATTCTCATGATATCAATCACTGGATCGTCTTGTCCAGACTCGATTATTTACAGACTGCCATCATATTGCTGGAATATTGCTGAGAGCAGTGTTAAACAACAAACAAATCTTATACCATTGTGTCATAGGATCATCTTCCAGTGTTAGCCCTCCCACTTGTTTTGTTGGTTGAGTAAAACATCCTGCCACCCTGCAACTTAGGTGTGTATTAGTTGAAGTTTTGAGGTGCATATATTGCAGTATCAACCTGAAAATAAAGGACGGTCACCTCCTGGCTGTTGTTGGTCAGGTCGGATCTGGCAAGTCATCACTTGTGTCGGCCATATTGGGAGAACTGAACAAGGTCAAAGGCAAGGTCAGCACAAGGGTGAGTTCAATGTTGATTCAGCCAAGACTAGCTGGTGTACACTAATTCAGTGGAACCTCAAGTAAAGAAGAGATGAAAGTTACTCAAACCTAAACAATATGTGTCCAATGATCTCCATGGTTTTACCTCGGTAAGAACCAAGTGTTGCGTGTCAATCCCTAAATGGGAACAATATTTTAACCCAGAAATCTATACATAAAAGAAGTTAGTGTGAAACCAAAATGAGGAAGAGAATTTATGGATGTCAACTTCTTTATTATGAGGAACACAACATTTCGGAGTATATGCTTACTCCTACATCAGGTAAACGAATGATATATATAGTTACATCATTCATTCACCTGATATATATATAATTATATCATTCATTCACCTGATATATATATAATTGTATATCACTTCTAAATGCCTAAAAACAAACAACAAATGAGGAAGAGAATTTATGGATGTCAACTTCTTTATTATGAGGAACACAACATTTCGGAGTATTTGCTTACTCCTTCATCAGGTAAACAAATGATATATATAGTTACATCATTCATTCACCTGATATATAAAATTGTATATCACTTCTAAATGCCTTTCAAAGATTTGAACCAACAAATGGTATACAATCAACAAATGTATTACAAAATCAATACAAAATACTGCACAGCAATTACAATGGCAGTACACAATAGAGTGGTAGTATAATATTCAATGGCAATACATAATATGATGGCAGTGATCAGTATCAGATATGAAAATACAGTGTTGATAGCAAAAGTCAATGATAATCATATATTCACCCAGCGACGACAGTGATCAAGTTTCCGAGAAAGGCCTAGAAAGGGAATCCAGGGTGATGAGTGACCTTCACATGAAAGCTGGTCTTGGTGTAATGAAATGTATGAGAGATACACGAGGCACACTCTTGTCCCATTATATACAGTTTAACGACCTACTTGAAACTTTCACTGTATCCTCACAACATAGAATATTCCACATGGTTCTATAACACTCCATCACAGTCCACGGTATTCTGGAAGTTTACACATGACACTGGCATCTAAATATAGTAACGTCCTCAAAACTGCTTACCGGTACATTAAATAGTAATGCATTCCTGACAACCAATCAAGTACAATGCAATGAGCTTCTACTGAATCTCAACAGAAACAATGTAATACCGGTACACTTAAAATAATTGTTTAACAATAAAATACACTGCCATTTACACCAGTCATGATAACAATGGGATAAGTGAAAATATTTATGTATTTATTTAATACTGTCTTTTAAACTGAACAAGCTAGGATCTGTCTTTACAAGATGCCCAGAAAAGGGAAACAATAAACGAATTATTAGATTTTCATACCAACCTGCCTCACTGTCAAACACTTACCGTATATAATTTTGTTGTCCTCAAGTACCTACAGAGGACAAAAATCGATACATGAACATATGTTGCCATGTTTTCCTTGTTTACTGGATGAAATAATGAAGATATGTTTTGTCAGTGTAGACTATACAACTACTTTACAACTTGACCATTCTGCACTGCTCAGCCAAGATATCGGTCACATCAGTCGAAAGTCAATGTTTACATTTCTGAAACATTTGTTTAAAATAATAACATCTGAACCATATAATGCTTCCTGCACATTATAGGGGCATATAGCCTTTGTTTTTCAACACTGCATCTGATGTGTTATAGGGATGTATAGCCTATGTTCCTCAACACTGCATCTGATGTGTTATAGGCGCATTTAGCCTCTGTTCCTCAATACTGCATCTGATGTGTTATAGGGATGTATAACCTATGTTTCTCAACACTGCATCTAATGTGTTATAGGGGCTTTTAGCCTATGTTCCTCAACACTGCATCTGATGTGTTATAGGGACGTATAGCCTCTGTTCCTCAACACTGCATCTGATGTGTTATAGGGACGTATAGCCTCTGTTCCTTAACACTGCATCTGATGTGTTATAGGGGCTTTTAACCTCTGTTCCTCAACACTGCATCTGATGTGTTATAGGGGCATTTAGCCTATGTTCCTCAACACTGTATCTGATGTGTTATAGGGATGTATAGCCTCTGTTCCTCAACGCTGCATCTGATGTGTTATAGGGATGTATAGCCTATGTTCCTCAACACTGCATCTGATGTGTTATAGGGATGTATAGCCTATGTTCCTCAACACTGCATCTGATGTGTTATAGGGATGTATAGCCTATGTTCCTCAACACTGCATCTGATGTGTTATAGGGACGTATATAGCCTATGTTCCTTAACACTGCATCTGATGTGTTATAGGGGCTTTTGGCCTCTGTTCCTCAACACTGCATCTGATGTGTTATAGGGGCATTTAGCCTCTGTTCCTCAACACTGCATCTGATGTGTTATAGGGACGTATAGCCTATGTTCCTCAACACTGCATCTGATGTGTTATAGGGACGTATATAGCCTATGTTCCTCAACACTGCATCTGATGTGTTATAGGGACGTATAGCCTCTGTTCCTCAACCCTGCATCTGATATGTTATAGGGATGTATAGCCTATGTTTCTCAATACTGAATATGATGTGTTTTGGGGCATATAGCCTATGTTCCTCAACACTGCATCTGATGTGTTATAGGGACGTATAGCCTATGTTCCTCAACAAGCCTGGATCCAGAACGACACCCTGCAGAACAACATCCTGTTTGGGAAGCGTATGGACAGACATCTGTATGATGAGGTGGTGGAGTGCTGTGCCCTGAAGGCTGACCTGGATATGCTGCCAGCAGGGGACCTGACAGAGATAGGGGAGAGGGTGAGTGTGGACATGTCATCTTTATTATTTTGGGATTTCCCTATTACGTGCCAAATTGTTGTATGCATGATGAAAGTTGGCTAACATGGGAATACAGTTAAGTCATTGCCTGCCAGTAGTACTGATGTATCCTCATACACTAGCAGGTTTTAATTTAGGGCAAAAATATATTATGGATTTGGCTGAACCTAAACAGAAAACAGTGAGGGGAAGTCTGAGTTTCTTTTTATTCTGCAGGATGAAAACGTGGAAATAACATTTGCATACAATTAAACTGCATGAACAACCAAACTAGCTTAACTACCAATGCTCACATTGTGAACTGACAAAACAATTGCAATGTCTTTTATATTTCTTCTCCCCAACTTACCCTGGTATTATTCACATTAAAATCTAGTAAAAAATAGTAGAAAACATGCTTTTTACCTCAGGGCATCAGCTTGAGTTGGGGGCAGAAGAGAGTGTCTCTAGCCAGAGCTGTCTACTGTGTCTTGTGTATTTTATGTCTTTCCTATCTTGTCATCAGGGCATCAACTTGAGTGGGAGACACAAACAGAGAGTGTCTCTAGCCAGAGCCGTCTACTGTGTCTTGTGTATTTTATGTCTTTCCTATCTTGTCATCAGGGCATCAACTTGAGTGGGAGACACAAACAGAGAGTGTCTCTAGCCAGAGCTGTCTTCTGTGTCCTGTGTATTTTATGTCTTTCCTATCTTGTCATCAGGGCATCAACTTGAGTGGGGGACAGAAGCAGAGAGTGTCTCTGGCCAGAGCCGTCTACAACGATGCTGACATCTACCTCCTGGATGACCCTCTCAGTGCTGTAGACAGCCATGTTGGCAAACACATCTTTGATAAAGTTATATGTAAAAATGGCCTTCTGAAAAATAAGGTAATTTTACAAACATATAAACAAAGTATAGAATTCTTACGAAACTTCTACCATTATTACTTCCCTGGCATAATTCCTGTAATTTGGCTTCAATCACACTCACATTTTCAGATTTTCAACAGACGTCCTCTTCACTATCAATCACACAACTAGTTGTCACCAAGTAGTCTTGTAACTACCCAAGCCATGACGTCATAATGGCGGCAACATCACTTTTTCCTGTGTGTGCTAGAGTCAATACTTAGTGTAATAGTAGTAACGATCTAGCAGTTTGTAGTAAGTCACAATAAGCTAAGATTATTCTAATAGTTTTCTATAATATTAGACATATAAGAAAATATTAATTTTGCTGCTCGAGTTAAGAGCACGCACGTAAGTATAGCTGGTGTTTGGTGCTCTTTGTGAGGTCAGCTATGCAGTCTCCCTCTACCCCTGGGTGCAAGAAGTGTGGCCATATCATGGTCAAGGGAGATCCACTTCTTGTAATAAGGAGAGAAGATGTTAGAAGTACGACAACACATCTGATAAGATCTTCTCCAAGATGGCCAAGGCTACAACCAAGGCTAAGAGAGGCTAATAAGAAGGTAGCAATATCACAGCTGAGAAATCAGCTTCCACCCCAGCTTCCACCCCAGTGTCTCCAAGGTCACAAATACAAATTTAACAAGAAATGATGTCATTAAGCAGAAATAGATTGAAAATGACATCATTATTACGATCAAGATCAGCAAATATAGCAGTAAATCTAGTGAGAATATCACATATTAGGTTGATTCTTGACACATTTCTGATTTCCTCAAGGGGAATTTCAGAGGACATTATCTCTAGTAGGATTAGAATCAGTAAATAATAGTTTCCAGAAGAGAATTGCTGTCAATTACACAGGGAGTTACTAGAGGCAGATCTCACCAGGTCCCTCTGGTATATTCTGGCAGAGATGTAATGGAGGTAGAAGTTTCGTAAGAATTATCGAACAATAGTTATCATTGTTAATAATTCTAAGAATACTGACTCTATTACATCCGAAGTACTCCCTCCCACCTCCATAATTCATCTACATCTAGTAGTTGATGAGGTAAAAAAGTGATGTTGCCACCATTATGACGTAATGGCTTGGGTAGTTACGAGACTATTTGGCGACAACTAGTTGTGTGATTGACAGTGAAGAGGACATCTGTTGAAAATATGAAAAGTTTAGTTAGTGTGATTGAAGCCAAAAAAACAGGATTAATAGCAGAGATGTAATAGAGGTAGTTTTCTTAGAATTATTAACAATGATAACTATTGTTAGATATTTGCAGAAAATGTCAGCATCTGATAACACACAGTCAAGCATGTCACAAGGCCTGACTAAACAATCCATTTTCATTTTGTCAAGTCCTACAACAAGCACAGTTTGCTGGGGACTTATTCTGACATGGAATCACCACAGGGTTGCAATGGTTTATTTCTTGCAATGTTACACGCTGATTAATTAATACAACTTTATCAAATAAGATTAACCATCAAGTATTGCTCTCATGAATGTTTAGCTGTTACCCATCGTATTTTGGGAGTCATACAGGATGGTACCAAGTGACTTTTTACTAAGAAGCCAACTGGATCGAGTTTTCATGTATGCAATTGTTGTATCTTGGAGAAGGACAACAATGGTCTTTGGAATAGGTGAAGTGAGGTGAAATTGGGGTTAGCATCACATGCGACATTATTGCTCTTATAAAGCAATGTTTGTTTGTTGTTTAACGCCACACTCAGCAATATTCCAGCTAAATGATGGCGGTCTGTAAATAATCGAGAAGACCTATTCTACCCCAGATCTTCTGTGTGTGTGTGTGTGTGTGTGTGTGTGTGTGTGTGTGTGTGTGTGTGTGTGTGTGTGTGTGTGTGTGTGTGTGTGTGTTGTGTGTGTGTTGTGTGTGTGTGTGTGTGTGTGTGCGCAAATAATCGAGAAGACCTATTCTGCCCCAGATCTTGTGTGTGTGTGCGTGTGTGTGTGTGCTTGTGTGCGTGCGCGTACGTGCATGTGCATGTGCATGCACTTATGCCCCTCCACTCTCTGGGCAGTTCCTCTATCCACAGGACCATGGAGGCGGACAACCTTAGCATTAAGTCTCTGAAATGAAGGTACTCACTCACTCGCTCGCTCGCTCACTTGTTCTAGACGCGAGTGCTGGTGACCCATGGCATCCACTGGCTGCTGGAGGTGGACACTGTGGTGGTGATGACAAACGGCCTCATCTCCGAGATAGGATCCTATGATGAGCTGCTCAGCCACAATGGACCCTTCGCCCAGTTCCTGAGGACGTACTTCTTGGAGAGTGAAGACGAGGATGGGGAAGACCCTGAAGGTTAGCTCAGCTTGCACTCTGTCAGTCATGTTGCCATGGTGACATTATGTATTTAACCATTTCTAGTCCTTAATTAATATACATCGTACAATTTAAGCAATCTGACAACCAACTAGAGTTATGAATGACTTGAATGAACCATTGTCCCATTTCACAAGGCAATCATAGCGATAGTGTTGTCATTACTCCAATAATTTAAAACAGACTTACAACAGTCTTAGCACTACAGAAATTTTTAGAAAGATAGTCATGTAGGAGTTAGTCAGACAAAGTTAAAACTTTTTTACATGCACTTTGTGCATGTGTATAAGAGTGGATATTATCCTACCCTATTTTTTATCCCAGGGATGAAATTCTCTAGTGTCAGGATGATTCTCCCTAGTGAATTTGAACCCATACCAGTGTGTCCTATCAACATATCTTTACTCCCACCCCTCATTTCTCACCCCACACCCCAACCAAAAATGATGAAATTGCAAGTATCAACATAAATAACACAAGAATATTCTAACCTATTGCTAGTTTTATTTATCCTAGGATTTTCCAAACAGAAATGTTGACATTTTTGCCTCAAAGCTCTCTTCTGGTTAAAGTTAAACTTTTCTGGATATGTTTTGTACTTTAAGTAATTGAATACTTTGGAATACTCTGTTCCATCCATGGTTGATCAAATCAACTGACAATGTCAACCTCAAAGTCATGAAGTCATGTGATCAGCTGACAGCATGAATGTCATGACAGCATGCAATGCATGCGCAAAGGAAGTCTGTCATGGGATAATATACACTGATTCCAGTTAGTGTAAATTATCCCAGGATACGTTTTCCTATTTCCACTTAGGTATGTTTCACTGAGATGAATTACCCTTAATTTTTGGACATAACCTATCCCAGATTTCACACACTAAGGTAGGATACTATACTCTAGAGTAAAACGTCCCCCGGGATAATATTTAGGTAGGATATAATCCTTGCTTACACATGTAGAGATTAGGCTGCATTTTTCAATATGTTGTTGCACTGGTGCATGTTTCACATAGCTAAATCTAGCCCTGACTGCTCACTATGATCGACTGCCAATCAGCCAGAGTCTAGTCCTAGTTAACAGATTCAAGATGCCCATGACTTTTGTAACACTGCTCACAGACACTTCATTACTTGAAGTCAGTGGTATCGCTGTGTTCCAGTTGTGGAGATGAAGCGCCAGGTGTTACAGAGGCTGGAGTCGGTGAAGACAGACGATGAGGTGGAGTCGGACATCATGGAAATGAGGCGGAAGTAAGATTGCAATGAGAACAGAATTTTTCTTCTGTGATGACAAAAAGTTCATATGTTGGTTGTCTCTAGGAATCTTGATGAAAAATCGGCACAGAACATATACAGGTCAGGGTCTACATGATACTCTGCTTGAAAGGTTGACATGATCTAGATTGGCAGTGCAGCCTTTGCCCTTGTGAAGGTCCGGGTAAGAATTGGTGTTCAGCAAGCCATGCTTGTTGTAAGAGACCTGAAGGAATGGAATCAGATGGTCAGGCTTGCTGACCTGGTTGATGCATGTCATCGTATCCTAACTGCATATGTAGCCCCACGTTGGGCACCAATGTAGTGGCCATAAAATTTCTGAGTCCCATGATGGGATTCGAACCACGGACCTTCTGATCCGAGTTCGGACGCCTTGTCCACTTGACCAAAGAGGTTAACCCCGTCTGACAAGGTAAGGATGTCATCTGTGGGATGACTCCACGCCCCCTGCTACACATAGATTGATGTTCAGGATGTGGATCAGTGGATTGTTTATAGACCATACTCAAGTAGCAGGAATATTGCTGAGTGCACTGTTAAACAAGAAAGAAACAAAACAAATTTATTACTATTTATCATGCTAATGCAGGATTCTCATCCTGAACATTGTCAATTATTAACTTCCTATCACCCCTTTGAAGATCTGGGATAAAATTGGTCTTCATCAACAGATGCTTGTAAGAGGCGACTATGGGTTGTTGTAAAAGGTGACTATGCATGTTGTTAGAGGTGATTATGCTTGTTGTAAGATGCGACTATGCATGTTGTAAGAGGTGACTATGCTCGTTGTAAGAGGCGACTATGCTTGTAAAAGGCGACTATGCTTGTTGTAAGAGATGACTAATGTCATTTTGTACTTTCTGACTTGGTTGATGATGGTCATTGTATCACAATTGCGTACGGCAATGCTTATTATGACATATGATGTTTTTCTGGTCCAGACTATTTACAGACTAGCTTGAATATTGCTGTGATGTTGAACAAGAAACAAATGTGTTTTCAGGAAGAGAGAGTCTGAGTGCAAAGGTGCAGATGAAGACCCAAAGGCTAAGGATGAAGAAGAGGATAAGGAGGACAAGAAGAAGCTGATTGAGGAGGAGAAGGTGGAGGGGGGCCGGGTGAGTTGTGGTGGTGAACATAGGGACCATAGGAGAGACAATGTAGGATGTACCAAATGAGGCATGCACAGGGATATCAATAGGGAGGATCAGATTTTGCTGACATGACAAAGACTTAAGTGGGCTTATGTCATGGTCTGCTTTTCTGGCATCCATCGGCTTAGGCAGCTGTAATATTTCTCCTCAGAAACCACTGGACCAATCCATTTTCTTAGGCAGCTGTAATATTTCTCCTCAGAAACCACTGGACCAATCCATTATCTTAGGCAGCTGTAATATTTCTCCTCAGAAACCACTGGACCAATGCATTGTCTTAGGCAGCTGTAATATTTCTCCTCAGAAACCACTGGACCAATGCATTGTCTTAGGCAGCTGTAATATTTCTCCTCAGGAACCACTGGACCAATGCATCGGCTTAGGCAGCTGTAATATTTCTCCTCAGGAACCACTGGACCAATGCATCGGCTTAGGCAGCTGTAATATTTCTCCTCAGAAACCACTGAGCAATGCATGGCTTAGGCAGCTGTAATATTTCTCCTCAGAAATCACTGGACCAATGCATCGGCTTAGGCAGCTGTAATATTTCTCCTCAGAAACCACTGGACCAATCCATCGGCTTAGGCAGCGGTAATATTTCTCCCCAGAAACCACTGGACCAACCCATCAGCTTAGGCAGCTGTAATATTTCTCCTCAGAAACCACTGGACCAATGCATTGTCTTAGGCAGCTGTAATATTTCTCCTCTGAAACCACTGGACCAATCCATTGTCTTAGGCAGCTGTAATATTTCTCCTCAGAAACCACTGGACCAATCCATTGTCTTAGGGAGCTGAAATATTTCTCCTCAGAAACCACTGGACCAATCCATCATCTTAGGCAGCTGTAATATTTCTCCTCAGAAACCACTGGACCAATCCATTGTCTTAGGGAGCTGTAATATTTCTCCTCAGAAACCACTGGACCAATCCATTGTCTTAGGGAGCTGAAATATTTCTCCTCAGAAACCACTGGACCAATCCATCATCTTAGGCAGCTGTAATATTTCTCCTCAGAAACCACTGGACCAATCCATTGTCTTAGGGAGCTGTAATATTTCTCCTCAGAAACCACTGGACCAATCCATTGTCTTAGGGAGCTGTAATATTTCTCCTCAGAAACCACTGGACCAATCCATCATCTTAGGCAGCTGTAATATTTCTCCTCAGAAACCACTGGACTAATCCATTGTCTTAGGGAGCTGTAATATTTCTCCTCAGAAACCACTGGACCAATCCATTGTCTTAGGGAGCTGAAATATTTCTCCTCAGAAACCACTGGACCAATGCATTGTCTTAGGCAGCTGTAATATTTCTCCTCAGAAACCACTGGACCAATCCATCGGCTTAGGCAGCGGTAATATTTCTCCCCAGAAACCACTGGACCAACCCATCAGCTTAGGCAGCTGTAATATTTCTCCTCAGAAACCACTGGACCAATGCATTGTCTTAGGCAGCTGTAATATTTCTCCTCAGAAACCACTGGACCAATCCATCGGCTTAGGCAGCTGTAATATTTCTCCTCAGAAACCACTGGACCAATCCATTGTCTTAGGCAGCTGTAATATTTCTCCTCAGAAACCACTGGACCAATCCATTGTCTTAGGGAGCTGTAATATTTCTCCTCAGAAACCACTGGACCAATCCATCGGCTGAGGCAGCTGTAATATTTCTCCTCAGAAACCACTGGACCAATCCATTGTCTTAGGGAGCTGTAATATTTCTCCTCAGAAACCACTGGACCAATCCATCGGCTGAGGCAGCTGTAATATTTCTCCCCAGAAACCACTGGACCAATCCATTGTCTTAGGGAGCTGTAATATTTCTCCTCAGAAACCACTGGACCAATCCATTGTCTTAGGGAGCTGTAATATTTCTCCTCAGAAATCACTGGACCAATGCATTGTCTTAGGCAGCTGTAATATTTCTCCTCAGAAACCACTGGACTAATGAAGCTGAAACTATTTGTTTTCAAAATGTAATGAAATTTGGTGTATGTTTAGCTCAATGTCATTGGAATGAACATCATATAAAACTGTTTCAGGTGAAATGGAACGTGTTCATGACATTTGGTCGGGCTGTTGGACTGAAATACGTTGGCCTTATCTTCACCCTTTACGGGCTGTACGAGGCGGCGGCAGTCATCGGCAACGTCTGGCTGAGTGAGTGGACAGATGATGCCCAGCTAAATGACATGACAGCCCTACCGTACAACAGCACTGAGCGGTTGGACCGGAACAACTACTACCTGGGGATATACGGAGCCCTTGGGGCTGCACAGAGTGAGTGAGGGAGTTAATACTCTTCATATTTCAGTATATCATGACAGATGGCACTTGGAAGAAAGTCCACAATGATGAAAGATGTTGTTGTTTAACGCCACACTCAGCATTATTCCAGCTATTTGATGGTGGTCTGTAGGTAATCAAGTCTGGACCAGCCAATCCAATGATTGACGTCAGAGCATCAATCTACACAATTGAGATACGATGACATGCATCAACCATGTCAGTAAGTCTGACCACCTGATCCCATTGCTGAAAACCAAATTTCCCCATGATGCAGGGTGTAAAATGAACTGTTTTGGTGACACATATTTAGCATGGGTATATGATGCTGACAGATGTAACACTTGTGGTGAGTCATGATCCCACATCACACTCAAGGGATCTTTGTAGCTAGACACACATACGCTGGACAGCACTAGTTTTGGCTCTTATAGTAGTTTCTGAAATCCATAATTTAGCATTTTGGATGGAACCCATAGAAGTGATACTTGGGCTATGTTGATTCATCATCATGAAGTAAAAGATCGAAAAAAGACTCTCTAATCTGGACAAAATTTAGATAGTCTATGATCAGACAATCATTCCGACAGTGGATCCAATGTATAAAGAATATACATGTATAAAAGAGCATCTCTGAAACAACTGTTTCCACTAGAGGACAAACACTGGTGACCCGTGAAGATCCGGGGTAGAATAGGTCTTCAGCAACCCATGCTTTCCGTAAGAGGCGACTAACGGGATCGGGTGGTCAGGCTCGCTGACTTGGTTGATGCATGTCATCGATCCCAATTGCGTGGATCTATGCTCATAATGTCAATCACTGGATTGTCTGGTCCAGACTCGATTATTTACAGACCGCGGTGACGCGGTCATGTAGCTGGATTATTGCTGAGTGCGGCGTCAAACAACAAACAACAACAAACACTGGTACTACGCCAAAAACAGTGTGCATGTAAAGGGAAGTAACTGCATACTATAGTGGATCGCGGTTTTTTTAAGTATTGTAGCATTTCACTGCCAGGGTCGTGTGTTCAAGAGTTTTTTTATTTTGAAAATGGAAATAAAAACGAAACGTGAGGCGGACTTTGTGACGATGCAGCGGTGCCTGAGAACAAAGACTATGGGTTTATTTTAGTCTTAATTGCTCATTTTTTAATTTGGTGTTTCTTTTATCAACAAAGCTTTTTGAAGGCTCTGTCCAGGAGGTTAAGGTTCAGAAAAATAATTGTCACCCTGTGTGACACGTAAACCTATCATAATCAATGTAACTATCATCAACCAGTGTTTTAAGCCAACTCATTGCTGATCATTTTTTAATATTGGGTAATATGTGCACAACCACCAGTGGCTAAAGTGCTAAGGTAAATCCTGCTGGGGTATCGTGCAGGATGCTGAGTCCCCATTATCCCCGGTGAGGTGACCTAGCTTTGATTACTGTTGGCCTTTAGCCTCTGCTGTATAAATAATATGCATTGTTTCATGGAAACAATTAGTAACACAATAGACAGAAACACCTTGGTTGGATTCAGGATTAAACTTAGCCTTCTATGCTGGTCATAGAAGGTGACATTGGATTGGGTGGTGAGGAGTAATGGTGAGGATTAATGGCTTGGTGATTGCATGTTACAGTGTTAGAAATTGACACTAGTCCTATAGTCCTTGCCAAACTGCCCAATAGTTAAGGTATTTTTTAAGGGTTTTGCTATATGTTATTATTATAAGGAATAGTTGACTGAAACTGTTAGTTTCTACCATTGATGTTATCATACCATGATGGTCGGGATCACTGCTCATAAATGCTCATAATATCAATCACTGGATTTTTTGGATTCTAATATTGCCGAATGCTGTGTTAAACAACAAACAATCAAGATAATCCAGGAAACACATCTGCCGGGGCATCACTTTGGGCTTTCCTCCCACATTAAGCTGACACGCCGTGATGTGACTGGAATTCTGTTAAAAGCGGCGTTAAATCCAACTCACTCACTCACTCACTCACTCACTCACTCACTCACTCACTCACTCACTCACTCACTCACTCACTCACTCACTCACTCACTCACTCACTCACTCACTCACTGTTAAATAATGAATGATGATTTTTATACTTGATCATTTATACTTGTGCTTACAATTCACACGTTTGTGTAATACTTTTTGTTTTACGAAATGTTATATATTCTCGTTTCTCAGCTATCTTCGTCATGGGTTTCTCCATCACGGTCAGCATCCGTTCTGTACACGCTTCCCGGATTCTCCACACTCGCATGCTGGCCAACGTGTTCAAGGCCCCAATGTCCTATTTTGATACCACCCCTGCAGGTCGTATTGTCAACCGATTCTCCCAGGATATCGACACAGTGGACAACGAACTGCCACTGACATTTGAGATGTGGATAGATACAGCTCTCCTGGTCCTCGGCACCATCATCGTGATCAGCTACAGCACGCCCATCTTCCTGGCCGTCATCGTGCCACTGTTTATCCTCTACGTCTTTATACAGGTAGCAGGCCTCAAAGTTGCCACTAAAATGGTTGCCAATGCGACCTAAATTTCAATTTGTCTACTGTCTAAAATTCAGAGGTAGCCAAATGACTACCTTAAAAAATATCTTGTGGTGACTAAATTCTATTGCTACACATTGTAATCGCAAATAATTCATCCTAAAGTCAACAATGAACCGAAATACATAAAGATGAATGTAATTAGTATTTTATTTTTGTTGATAGTTTATTGGATAAACAAGGATATACCGATATAATCTAGTTACATAAATTGTATCATTGTTCGAGTCACAAATAACAAAAGTCAAGTACAGTTTCTACTAATATACAATAGTAGTTATTTGATAAAAGATCATTTCAAATGCTTTTGGCTACCTACACTATTGGATTGACTTCTTAATTTTTCCACTGGCGACCTGGAAAAAATTACTTGTAGCGATATGGCTACTTGATAAAAGTTTAAACTTTGAGGCCTGGGTAGTCCTTTCAACAAACTATCCAGTGTTGCTTGGAGAGTGGAGGGTAGTGGTTCAATCTCCAGCTGCATCAAACAGTTAAAAGTTGGTACTAGTTACTCTGCCTAGTGCTAGCGCTTGGCATTAAGTGGATAAAACAAGGGCTGGTTGGCACGGAGTCAGTATAATGTGTCTGAGTGGGATATCCATGTTAATATGCAACATGGTATCTCACTGGGCTGGTATTGTCAAACCAGCATTAATCTGTACTAGTGCAATCAGCCACACACATGCATGTCACGATATAACAATAACTGTATTGCACCTCACCTCACAAGCTCAAGTCGTGGTTACAGAAGAACATCTCCAGAGAAGCCAGAAATTCTACCCACCCCCAGAACACCTTTAACATCAGACAAGGGGGCACAGGTGGCCCAGTCATCTAAGGCGCCGCGATTCACTGTGCAGAGTTGCATCCCTTGGGCACGCCAGAAACCTATGATTGTGGGTTCGAATCCCGGTTCACCCTGATTATGTTTCTAGGTTTGTCAGCACCATACCCGTGCTCGTGGGTTTCACCGAAGTGGTAAACGTCTGAGACCTGCATCACTCTGGTCTTTCCTCCCACATTAAGCTGAAACGCCGCGATATAACTGGAATACTGTTAAAAGCGGCGTTAACCCAACTAACTCACTCACTCAGACTAACTACCCGGTAATCATGCCTGAGCCAATATCCAGACCTATAAGTTACATTCTCTGTAACAAAAGTGTACCTCTCCTTCCAGAGATTCTACATCCCAACATCTCGTCAAGTAAAGAGACTCGAGTCAAAGACGCGGTCACCTATCTATAGTCACTTTGGGGAGACCGTATCGGGAGCTAGTGTGATACGAGCATACGGGGTAGCTGATAGATTCATAGAGGAGTCTGAGAAGAGGGTGGACAATAACCAGAGGTTTGCCTTTGCTGGGTTTACAGCCAACAGGTGAGGGAAACTGTACAAATGTGATTATGTTTGTGTTCCTTGACTTTGTCTTGGTTAGTTAAGTCAACATTAGTAGTTTGTGAAAAGAAAATTGAAACTAACCACAAATATGCTCAAATTTGATAATTGATGCCTTGAAAAGTAGAGAATGAGTGAATTTGCTGCTTTGAACAGTAATGTTGGAGGAAAGCTAGAAGTATTACATGTCTAAGATATTTTGGGCAATAATCACTTCTGATTTTAGGGCCACTTCACATCATTTAGGAATAATTTGCAAATGATGACCCTGCCATATATATACAAACATATCTTCTGATCTACTAGGACTATTGGTAGACTCTCTCAAGATTGCCGATTGAGCACTATTTACACCAATCACTGTGTTAGAGCAACAACTGTAACAGAGGTTGAGGCTAGGGAAGGAGTAAACATCATGGGCTACAAGAATCAGTCTTCATACATAACAGATTCACCGGCATCTTCTAAATGCCACAAGTTAGATTAAACAATGGATGTTTTTTAGAGACCACTGATAGTTGAGGTGCAATTTCTTTGCCAGATGGCTTGGCATTCGTCTGGAGTTCCTGGGCAACTTCATCATCTTGGCAGCCTCCGTGTTCGCTGTGCTGGCCCGTGACAGCATCACTGGGGGATTGGTCGGCCTCTCCATCTCTTATGCCTTGGAGGTAAACGCAGAGATAAACCTGTTAATTAACTGTCATCCTCCAAAATATTTAAACGATTAAATTTTATCTTGGGTAATGACTACCACAATGATGGGAGTGAAATTGTTTATGGCATAAAACTAAAACTTTAAGTGCTCCTTCAAAGAAAGGGGACAGAATTGTTATTAAAATGTTTTTTAAATCTTCTCAGACTGATGTAAAGCATTTTGATAATCAGAATCTGATGTGTCAATAGGATAAAAGTTGAAATTTCAGTTAAAAGTTGAAATATGATCCGATGTTATTATTTTGTTAACACTGCTTTGTGCCCTGTGCAACAATCAGGTAGGCTTTACATGTAATCTACTACAAATTCAGTGGGTTATGTGTTATGTAGAGGAAATTATATTCAACAATTCTTCTCATGACTATTTTACAGATAACAGGGAATCTTAACTGGTTAGTTCGTATGACCTCTGATCTTGAGACACAGGTGGTTTCAGTTGAAAGAATCAAAGAGTATACAGAAATTGCATCAGAGGTGAGATTTGTTTTGTGCATCTTCCTTCCTACACCTAAAACACTCATGCCAGCCAGTGAACTTGCCAAAAGCAGCCTATGAATTCACTGACATGTTGTAGCTTAGTGGCACAAGTCATGGAATCCTTGACAAGTCATGGAATTTGAATTTAAATTTCCTGGGCCTGGAATAGTTTTGGAAACAAGAAAATTGTTATCAAGTCATGAAAAAATATTTTTATACCAGTAATCTTCCTGGCGAGTCATTATACGTTGTAAGAGGATTAAGAGGGGTACATGGGGTTTTATGCATCCTGATTTAGGGTTTATACCACAAGCTCGAGTTGTATAAAACCTTTCGAGGGACGCATAAAACCCCATGCACCCCGATTGATTCATCTTACCAACATGTTTTAATATGACATTGTTAAATAATTCAAACAAATTCAAAATTGACGAAAAACAGCTGTTTGATTGAGCTGAGGTTAGTTTGCACTGTGTCATGTGACTTTCATTGACTCCCGTAAAAAGTGGTGCAGCTTTTTGTTTTGAAGCGGGATATAAGGGATTTTTTCTTCCTCTCAGAAATCCATGTGCAGCCTGAGTTGCTCATGGGGGGATATTAGAGATTAATTTCCTTCCCCTAAGAAATTTATTGCCCTCCAAGGAAGGATACACAGTATTTTATCAAGATCACGTGGACCATTCAGATCTCTTCATTCTGACATGGGGGTTGTATAAGGAAATTTGTCAGGCTGATGTATTAATGCAATTACCGTCTTCGACGTAATATGCGCCCCGCTCTAATAAGCGCCCATGGCGATATTTGCTAATATATTGGCTAGTGAACAATTATCACCCCTTCTGATTGATCAATGTAGACAAGACTTGTTTATTCGCTATTATACGCACTCGTGTGTTATATGCACCCTTAATTATGGGCAATTAAATTCTGGAAAAATATATCTCTCGTATATAAACATTTCAGGCTGTCAGCATAAACCATGAAATTTATCTTTCAACTCTGTTTTTTTTTCACCAAAATAATATTCTAATAAGAGCCCCCTATTTCTAATTTTGAGAGCACCCTGGGCGCTTATTACGTCGAATACATTATGTTCATCTCAACTTTTCTTGCATGACTTTATTATTTATGACATATTTGACTGCAGATACTATCCAGTAGACAAAATAAACTTGCAGTCTCCCTGTTCCAGGCTCCTTGGTCCCTCCAGGAACACTGCCCCAACCACGACTGGCCACAGTCCGGGGTGGTGAAGTTTGTGGACTACTCAACTCGCTACAGACAGGGTCTTGACCTGGTGCTTCGGGGCATCTCCTGCACCATCAACTCAGGGGAGAAGGTGACTGACTCTCACCACTACCTGAGATGTTATCCCGGGATATTTGTAGACTTTACATCATTTCATCTTTTCCATATGTGTTTAGTTTTGAATTTCCATGTTACTTACATGATAATCTTTATAGAAGAGTAATTTGCCATGGCCTGAATTAATTATTATTTTGTTGTTCCAATACTACATGTGGGCGGTCCGGTAGCCTAGTGGTTAAAGTGTTCACTCGTCACGCCGAAGACCCGGATTCGATTCCCGACATGGGTACAATGTGTGAAGCCCATTTCTGGTGTCCCCCGCCGTGATATTGCGGGAATATTGCTAAAAGCGGCGTAAAACCATACTCACCCACCCACCCACCAATACTACATGTAATTCTGAAGTCAAAATAGAAACAAATATTTTAACTCGTTTGGGACTGATGTATCAAAAGTTAAGTTGTGCTGATAAATAAAAAAATGAAATGCCAATATAAAACTTTCTTCAGAATTACATTTTTTTATCAAAAAGCTGATCGTAATATTGTTGTGCATTCCAGACTGTGGGATGGGAGATAACGACAGACAGAATTGTTGATTGTCATAACATCCTTGTGTATTCCAGACTGTGGGAGGGGAGATAACCACAGACAGAGTTGTTGATTGTCATAACATCCTTGTGTATTCCAGACTGTGGGAGGGGAGATAACGACAGACAGAGTTGTTGATTGTCATAACATCCTTGTCTATTCCAGACTGTGGGAGGGGAGATAACGACAGACAGAGTTGTACATTGTCATAACATCCTTGTGTATTCCAGACTGTGGAAAGGGAGATAACTACAGACAGAGTTGTACATTGTTATAACATCCTTGTGTATTCCAGACTGTGGGAGGGGAGATAACCACAGACAGAGTTGTTGATTGTCATTTATAACATCCCTGTGTATTCCAGACTGTGGGAGGGGAGATAACTACAGACAGAGTTGTACATTGTCATAACATCCTTGTGTATTCCAGGTGGGCATTGTGGGCAGGACAGGTGCAGGGAAGTCATCTCTGACCCTGTCACTGTTCAGGCTGATCGAGGCTGCAGGAGGGCAGATAATCATAGACGGAGTTGATGTCAGTACACTGGGGCTGCATGACCTGAGGAAAAGACTTACTATCTTGCCACAGGTAACTGAACAGGATCAAGGCTGTTGACCAGCACTGCTTAGCACAGGACTGCTAGACGGTAGACATCAGAACTCAGGCTCCATGATCTGAGGACACTTTCGAATATGAAATCAAATTCAAAAGGATGGCTTTTTTAATCATAACATATGTTGGTTAGAGCTCCTTCCCTAGAAATGGATTCTAAGGTTTTTAGCTACCTTGCTAAAATAATGGGGGGGTTTGAGGGGTTTGGTGAAATGTGGCCCTGATGGATGTCACTGATGAGATTGCAAGCCATAATGGAACTTGCAATGAAAGAATTGCTGTGAAATTCAATTTTTGATCCTATTAAACCACAACTGCAAGCGGGGTAATTTTCTGCATATTTTGAGCTTCATCACCTATTGTACAATTAGTCACTTTGTCGTGTGCTGCTATGTTAGTAGCATCAAACAAACATGGAGTATGAATGCTTTGAACTGTGCAAGTCAAAATCTTGTAAACACCGGAACTTGCTTTACGTTTTTCATTGTAACCAAGAGAAATAGTCAGAAATGGCGATAAAAAACTTTGTTGTGAGTGATTTTGCATCAGTCATGCTGTCACACAGGATGGAAACATTGACAATTTCTGTTGAAGTTACCAAATCATTGTAATGTATCTATTTTCTAATTCCCTACATCTTGCTACGATACTCCCATGCATGTTATAAAAATAGAGCCATTATATCTCTCAAATAAGAGCTGCTATTTTAGTAGCATCAAACAAACATGGTGGATTGGCATCCTGTATTCTGTAGGTACTTCTTGCATTTGGCCTACGACTATAGGTGCACCCACATGTCTTTTAAACCATGTTAACTCAATGTTTGAAGGATGAAGTCAGTATTTCTGATCGTTTCTGTAAATGGTCCTATGTAATATACTTGTCCACAACATGTACTGACTTGCCTGCCAGGACCCTGTGTTGTTTGCTGGGACCCTGAGGATAAACCTGGATCCCTTCAACAAGCACAGTGACGGCCAGATCTGGACAGCCCTGGACCATGCCCACCTGAAGACCTTTGTCCAGTCTCTGCCGGACAAGCTGCAACATGAGTGTGGGGAGGGAGGCGAGAATCTCAGGTACATCAACCTTCAAACTTCACAGTAGGCCGCTGACCCGAGACTACCAAATTGTGCGGGGGACAAGTGAAAATCCAATGATACTTGCCCTCATTGCCTAGAGTGTTTGAGGGCTGTAAGCCTTAACCATTTCTCAATGTTTCAATATTGCTAACGACTGGAACTAAATAAAACTGACAGGAAATGTAAACATGGTAAACGTTTTTGTCTTGTTCAAGCAGGACTAGCTACAAACTGTGAGGACTAGTGAAGTTTTCACTGGTCCTTTGGACTAACCACAAAAGACACATTTCTAAGAACACATGGATGGTTTCCGCACAATTCAATGCTAAAGAAGCAATAACCGTATTGCAAAATTAAAGTAAAGGAGATACAAAACCTAGACTTCCCTACAATGGACAAGTGTCAGTAGTGAGTGAGTGAGTATGGTTTAACGCCGCTTTTAGCAATATTCCAGCAATATCACGGCAGGGGACACCAGAAATGGGCTTCACACATTGTACCCATGTCGGGAATCGAACCCGGGTCTTCGGCGTGAAGAGCGAACATGTTAACCACTAGGCTACCCGACCGCCCCACAAGTGTCAGTAGAGTGTTGACCTGGGGCTATGTGGCAGGCACTGTGCAAGGTAAAGACTCGCAGATGCATGCAGATGTCAGGGGGAGTTGTGTTATATTGTCACTTGCAAAGATGTTGTACCTCCAGGGAGTACTTCACCAGAGATGACATAGCCTAAAATTTGTTGTTAACCCCCAGACATAATTTCTTATTAAAGTGTTTTGAGAGTTTGTACAGCCAGGGGTGTTTGCTGTAACTGATCCCCAGTGATTGTTTATACACCCAGGTGTTACGTGTTGCAGTGCCAAAGATGGACTACTGACTTTGTCTGTATCAGTTTCTTGTATAAGGTTAAACACAGCATTGTTAGTCTGGTAATGCTTTAACAATGAGAGATGTAGTGATGCTAGTTAAAATTATCAGCACTCATTTCTCAACAATTTCCCTCTGCTTCTCTGCTAGTGTTGGCCAGCGGCAACTACTGTGTCTGGCCAGAGCTCTCCTCAAGAAGACCAAGATCCTGGTTCTGGACGAAGCTACAGCAGCCGTTGACATGGAAACGGATGACCTGATCCAGCAGACCATCAGGTCAGAGTTCAAGAACTGCACCGTGCTGACCATCGCCCACAGACTCAACACGGTCATGGACTACGACAGGTGAGGAGGCAGTATTGGTTTAAGAAGCAGATTGTAGTACAATATCTGGGTGCAGATACGACTATGTTGTCGGGAGTAACAACGGAAGACCCTGAGTGTTGCATTTCCTATTACGCCTGTGGATGTATCTATGAATGGAAAAGCTCATTGGACACATAGCCCAGTGGTCCTTTACAGCCAGGGTCGGCAGGGTGGGGGTTTGAATCCCATTGCTCTGAATATGATCCTTACTGACAGCACGTCAATGTACACAGGGGCTTCACCAGTGGAAAACATCTGCAGCCTGTCTCACTGTAACTTTCCTCCAACTTGAAGCAAGCATGTTATGATACAACTGAAGTACTACCTGTATTCAGAGTGGAATCAAATCCACCCCAATCAATGAGAAAACGTAATGTTCATCTGTGATGTAAAAGATTCTAATTTTGTTCAGATTAAGGTCTGTCTAGTTTCTTAGGCTTTCCAGAATCCTATGATCATGGGTTTTAACCCCAGGTTTAACGTTGTTAAGAATCTTGGTTTGTCAGCTTCATACTCATTCTATGTGATAAATGTTGAAAGCCTGCATGACATCAGGCTTTCCTTCCACATTGTTGTTATTGTTGTTGTTGTTATTATTGTTGTTGTTATTGTTGTTGTTATTATGGTTGTTATCATTTGATGATGATAATGATGATGATGATGATGATTGTTATTATTATTTGCCCCCAGGATTTTGGTTCTGGACAATGGCAAGGTGGTGGACTTTGATTCCCCCCAGTCTCTCCTCCAGCAGCCTGGCGGGGTTTTCTACAGGATGGCCGAGGATGCTGGACTGGCCTGAGGCAGGTGCTGCTGTGCGTTGATGCTGTCAGAGTGACGAGACTGAGGTCATGTATGACCGCTGTAACTACAGGATGGCCGAGGATGCTGGACTGGCCTGAGGCAGGTGCTGCTGTGCGTTGATGCTGTCAGAGTGACGAAACTGGGGTCATGTATGACCGCTGTAACTATGGGAGCAGAAGGAAAGACACCATTGAGATGTTTTCTGTAAATATTAGCTGCCGCAGTGACAACACGTATTGACTCCTGTATATCTTTTAATAATATTTTGATTGTTTAGTAACGAGCGAATACATAAGTTTGGTATTAAACTGTGGTTTGCCTTATATACTAAATATATATCTCAGTTTTCTGAAGTGAATCATGTTTTGTTTTCAATCTGTAAGCTGGTACGTTGGTTATGAAGTGACTTCATAATGGTCTTCCTGGCTATTTCCCCACATTATTAATGTGTACTCCCATGATTCTGTGATAGAAGACACAATGTCTGAATATATTTGGATTGGAGAATATTCAGTAATATACCCAATTTACAAATTCGAATTTACAAATCCATTCTTTTTCAGAAATTGCTTCAGTAGAATTGCAACAGGCAAAAATGCAAATTTGATTGCTACCTTATTCCTTTATGGGTTTGTAATTCATGATCGTGAAGAAAGAAATCCAACACACCTTTTGTCCACCATTTCCTAATTTTTATTTTATGTTTGACACTGCTGACCAGAGTTTGGTTTAGAGTTCAGCACCAGCATATTCTGTCGTTGTTGTTCTTGGTGCCGTTGTACAAAGCGATCTTAGCGCTAAGGTGATCGTAACTCCCGTACCTTAACATAGACTTACAACAGTCATAGCGCTAAGGTTGTTTTGTACAGCGGCACCCTCCCTGTTCATTAGTAAGAAGTTTCATGCAGCTGTCAGGAGGAGGCGGAGTTTTGTCTGCCTTACATTTGCCAATTCGTAATCATGTAATTTTATGACAGTATGTATGACCAAATGTGTTGTTTACTTGTTGTATACTCAATCACCTATGTTATGTCTGCTTAAGTCTGCATGGCTGCATCACCCTTCCCACCCATTGTCTCTGCGTATGATCAGGTAATCCTCACTGGTCTGGTTATCCGAGGGGGGAAACGATACATCGGTGCATCGTGAGGTTTCATTTGATGATATGATTCACAATACTTTTTCTTCTGTATCGATAAATTCCTTACTACTTTCTTAATGACCCCTGGCATTTTTGGCCATCAGATATCACAAAATGTGTATTTTAAACCTCCTCTGACATATTTCTTGTCTTGTGTATCGCATCATGACCTATGTATCATAATACGTATCATATCATGATTTTGCTGTATCGTTTCACCTCTAGACATATGGTCATCTGATTACCTTTCCTCCTCCAGGGTCACTGGTGGTCATACGTCTAAGTCACAGTTATTCACTGTGCAGAGTTATTCCCCTTAGGCACACCATCCTACGATTTTGGGTTTCAATCCCAGATTCACCTTGATTTGTCAGCACCGTACAGGGGCTGTGGATTTCAAAGTATTACTTACCTGAAGACTTTCGAGATTTCCTCCTCTGTTTATCTGACACACTGTCATATAGGGGGCATGGGTGGCCAAGTCGTCTAAGGCGCCACGATTCGCTGTGCAGAGTTGCCTCCCTTGGGCACGCCAGAAACCTATGATTGTGGGTTCGAATCCCGGTTCACCCCGATTATGTTTCTAGGTTTGTCAGCACCATAACCGTGCTCGTGGGTTTCATCGAAGTGGTAAACGTCTGAGACCTGCATCACTTCGGGCTTTCCTCCCACATTAAGCTGACACGGCGTGATATAACTGGAATAATGTTAAAAGCGGCATTAAAACCTAACTCACTCACTCACGCACTGTGATATAACTAACACTGTTCAAACCTGAGTTAAACAATTGCTGACTATCTTCATACATATTTGGAATAGACCGGGACTCCATTCTGCTCTCTGGTGCTAGGTTGAAGTCAAGGCATAGATTCTGTAATCACTGCCCGGTCACTCAGTAATTAGAGTAATCATTACATGCAAGAGTGGTATATTACACAAAGATGTTTAAGTAGACAATGAAAGCATTTTTGTAATATCTTGTACCCGACTTGCCAATGGCACAAGCCTGATGTAATAGTCCCCTTTGGGAATGTAAGATTTTACTGAATCCAACTATGCTTGTCGTAAGAGGCGACTAACAGGGTCGGGTGGTCAGGCTCGCTGACTTGGTTGATGCATGTCATCATATCCCAATTGCGTGGATCGTTGCTCATGATATCAATCACTGGATTGTCTGGTCCAGACTTGATTATTTACAGACCGCCGTCATATAGCTGGAATATTGCTGAGTGCAGCGTTAAACAACTAACAAACTGAATCCAAACATCTACAGGGCTGGCTTTATAAGGGGACACTTTGTTTGGCATATAATATAATGCATTTTCATTGAACCATAATTGTGCAATATTTTGCATCTGTTCCTTTATTTATGGCCATCTTAATCTTGTAAGGGACCAGAAAACAACTGGTATTGTTGATATTGTGAGGAATGTCCCATGTCGTCACTGGGTACGATGACCTGCATTAAACCAGGTCATGGAGTCTGACACACCATCCATTTATACAAGCAATTATGTTACTGGAGACCTATCCTAACCAGAATCCCCATGTAGAAAGTAATATTATCTTAGCATATTCATATTTACACATGCTTTGTTAAATTTTAAATGTGACCAGGGTAGGAAGTCTAATTTGCCTAAATTGTACATTACATTAGGCCTTTTATGTTTTATCAGTTGTTTTACACAATTTTGAGTAAAAAATTCAACGTTGGATGTCGGGTCAAAAAAAAGTTTAAACTTCCAGATTACGGCTGGTAGAAACTTGTAGGTCAAACTTTTAGGAAGTAAGATTGCAAAACAATATGAAACTATAATTGATTCTGGATTTTTTAGTTAGAATATAGATTTGTATGCATATTATTCGCCATTTCTTATGAACTGTGGTGATACAATCTTGTGTTGTTATTAATTGCACCTAATTGTAAAACTGTTGTCAAAAACACAAAATTGTTTTTAGAATTTAAGGTCTTGTCTGTCTGTCTCAACGAATATAATAGTCAAACAGAGCGTAGTTTGATAAAGGCTCTCTTTGGTCCACTAGATCTTCATAATTTAAGAAATGAGGAAATCTTTTAGAAATAGTAAATGTAGCATCAAAATGTTAACATGGTTCACAGTGGAAAAACTGAATGATGTTTAATTGTCATGTTATTTTTCTGTTGTTTTTTTCTGCGTATTTGCGTAAAATACCCCCCAAATCTATTCAAAACCCAATTGTTGCGCAGTGGAACTGAATATTTGAGCGTGGTTTAACTTAAAATGAAAACTAATCTAAACTTTGTATGACTTACCTTTTTTGAATGAATCCAGGAACTAAACGTGATAACCTATTATAAAACTATGAAGATCTATGAGGAACTAAACGTGATTACCTGTTATTATGTGAAGGAAAGATGAATCAACCTCAAATGAAAGAAACTAAATGCTAATTCTAACAGTTACTCCTAAGGGAGTCTTAACACTGTCTAACACTGTCTAACGCCATCTATCTAACCCCATCTATCTAACCCCATCTATCTAACCAACGAACTCTCTAACGAACTCTGGCAAACTTTCTAACCATCTAACTAACCATCTAACGAATGGTCTAACGAACATTCTAACGAACTGCGAACTATGACCAAGTCTCTCTCTCTCTCGCTCTAACCATCTAACTAACGAATTCTGACCAAAGTAACTAACTGATGCGCGCTACCGCCTTATATTTGCTCACAACCCTCACATTTCACGTGCAGTCACAGCCATACGTTGGTGCGTTCAGGCGATGCGATCGTTATGCATCGGGTGCGTTTTGGAGAACAGATTCTTTATTTAACACTAACACGAGTGCACGTGAAGCGCGATCTATAGGCTCCGGGTGCGTTTTGGAGCACACTTTTAATGAACGAACATGTCTTCAGAACATGCCCCCCTCCATGATAGATCCATGTCTATCATGAAAACCGACTAAACTTAGAAGAAACTGAAAGGAAACTAAATCTATGAGTATGTACATTTGTTGCTGTTATCCAATTTGACAATTGCAGAACTCAACTCCATTCAAGAGGGCAGACCTTCGTGATAGGTCTTTTCAAGACTGTTTTGCCAACTTTAACATCAAGAACACGAACGTGATCATCCTTTCCAGGATACGTTTTGAGAACTCTGCCAAGAGGCCAAACTCCACGAGGAGTATCTGGAGATACCACAATGACAACGTCATCGACCTGTATATCTCTGGATGGTGTGAACCACTTCTTTCTGATGTTGAGAGTCGGGAGCCACTCCCTCATCCATCGTTTCCACACATGTCTGATGAGTTCTTGAACTCTCCTCCATCGCTTCTTTGGGCTGAACGAGGTAGAGTCTAACTCTGGTGCGAAATCTCCACCCATCTGACCATGTAGGAAATGGCTGGGCGTAAGAGGCACATCATCCTTTGGATGTGCACTTTGATAGGTCAAAGGCCTAGAATTCAGAAGAGCTTCAGCTCCTGTAAAGGCTGTCATCAGCTCTTCATCACTGACGTCACCTGAACTCAGTATAGCATAGATAGCCCGTTTTGCTGACTTCACTAAAGACTCGAAAACACCTCCAAAATATGGTGCGTGTGGAGGATTAAACAACCACTTCACACTTTTGTTTGCCAAGGTTGACTTAATCACATCCGAGTTTAGTCCTGAAATGAGCTGCTTCAGCTCCTTTGCAGCACCAACAAAGTTGGTTCCGTTGTCCGAGATTACCTCCTTTGGCATACCTCGTCTGTGAGCCATACGAAACAGGGCATTCAGAAATGAATCTGTGTCTAAACCGAATGCCATTTCTAAATGAACCGCTCGGGTTGACAAACATGTGAAAAGGCAGAGATAACGTTTCTGTCGACTCTTGCCTTGACCCTGTACAGTGAAAAAAGGACCTGCATAGTCCACACCTGCTGTCACAAATGATTTCATTGTACACCTCACTCTGATCTTCGGTAGGTCTGCCATTATCTGATGCGCTGGTTTGGCTTTTTGTCGTCTACACCATGAACATTCTCTTTCCCACTGACGAATTTCCTCTCTAGCTGAAATAATCCAAAACCTAGATGACACTGCTGATAACGTACTGTTCGTACCTGTGTGCTTGACCTGCTCATGGTAAAACTTGACAATCAGTTTGGTGACCCAACTATGTCTCGGGAGTATAATGGGAAATCTGGCACTGAATGACAATACGTCAGCAAATCTGAGTCTCCCTCCTGTCCTCATCAACCCATTTTTATCAACGTAAGGCTGTAAGCCAAACAACTTGCTGTTTGAAGGCAAGTTTGATTTCCTCATCAGTGACGAATAGTCATCAGAAAATTCTTCTCTTTGAGTCCTGACCATAATTGTAGTTTCGGCGTCCTCAATTTCTTCAGGATCAAGTTCACCCTTTTTCCTAAGTGAATATGGAACCCTAGCGTTGTTCAGAAACCTATAGATCCATGCCGACACTCTACACAATCTCTTCCAACTAGAAAATCTAGCTGGCGCTAATCTCCAAGAGATTGGATCAGACTTAGTAAACATGGCGATGTTTACTTGCGAAGGTTTCTTCAGTTCTGATGTCTCAGTATTGTCCATGTCAATGGTCTGCTTCGGCCATTCGGTTTCATCATGTGTCACAAATTCAGGTCCATTCAGCCATTTCTCTGTCAAAAGTGCTTCAGCATCTACACCTCTACTAAGAATGTCTGCAGCATTCAGTTTGGATGGAACGTATTTCCAGTGACTGATGTGTGTATGCTCCTGTATGTATCCAATCCTATTTGCTACAAATGGCTTAAAACATTGTCTTTTGATCCACCACAGTACGTTCTGGCTGTCTGACCATAGCGTTGCACGCTGCAAAGGTAATTCTAATGCCTTTGTTATAGCCAGTAACAGTCGTACACCCAGAACTGCCGCAAGCAGCTCCAATCGAGGCATACTAACTGCCTTGAGGGGAGCAACATGGCACTTGGAAGCAACTAGATAACTAGACTTTGTGTCATCTTCACGATTGGTTACTAAATATACCACAGCTCCAAATGCTGCCTCTGAAGCATCTACAAATGTGTGCAACTTCATCTTTGAAGTATCTAAGCTAACCTCAAGCCCCCTTGGAATTTTAACAGAACACAACTTTTCAATTTCAAGGTACCAAGACCATGCTTTTTGTTCCAGATCTGGACTGAGGGTTTCATCCCAGTTAACACCGGATATCCACATCTCTTGCAGAAGAACCCTTGCCCTAATGATGAATGGACCTAAGAACCCAAGAGGATCAAACAGCTTAGCAGTTTCTTTCAAGAAGTTCCTCTTAGTCATCTTAATATCCTGCTTTAAGGACATGAAAGAAAATCTAAACTCATCTGATTCTGCATTCCACAGTAAGCCCAGTGCTTTCACAGATGGCAATTCACTCATTTGAATATTAATCTCTTTCAATCTATCCTCTTCTGGTATTTCTTGGAGAACTTGCATGGAATTGGAAACCCACTTACGAGCGTGCATACCTGCTGTACTCCACAGCTGTTGCAGCTGTTTGTAAAGCTCTATAGCTTTGCTATTTGTGTCAACGGAATCCATATTGTCATCCATATATGTTGACTTTTCCACGGTTGCTGCAGCCAATGGAAGTTCTTTCTCCATGGACTTAGCATGTTCCTGAGTGATAAACTGAGCTAAAAAGGGGGAACAATTTAGTCCAAACACAACCGTTGAGAACTCAAATACATCTGGCTTTTTGTTCAGATCCATAGACCTCCAAAGAAACCTTAGATATGGACGGTCATCCTGAGCGACTTCAATTTGAAGGTACATTTCAGCAATATCGCAAATGATTGCAACAGGATGTTTGCGAAACCGCAGCAAGATCTCGAATAGATCATTCTGGAGTTTTGGTCCTTGATGAATGACATCATTCAGAGATATGCCTTTATTCTTTGCAGATGCATCGAATACGATTCTCACCTTTGTTGTACTTCTGTCTGGTTTTATGACATGAAAATGTGGTAAGTACCATTTACTTTGATCTACTTCTGTTTCAGGTACTTTTCAGATGTAACCTTTTTTCAGGTATTGTTCTATGACTTCATTGTAGGCTCCTGAAATCGTTTGATCCTTTGACAACTTCTTTTCTAAATTAAGAAGACGATTGTATGCCATGTCATAATTGTTTTTCAGATTCTCATGACCCTCCTTCCATGGAATGCCAACCTGATATTTGTCTTTTCTGTAAACAAGGGACTGTTCTACAGCCTTAACTGCATTATTCTCATCAATGCTTCTAATCGATGTCAAACCTGAAATGCTTTCAGACTCCCAAAATGAGTGAATCAAAGATTCAATATCTGTATCTGCGATGGCTTCTATTTCTGTATTTCTGATGAAGAAGGAACCTGCTACGTGTGTTGTTTTGTCTGAACCTGATACAGCACCAACACAGGTCCAACCTAAGGGTGTCAACCGAGCCACAGGCTCTCCTTGAGCTCCACGGACCTCTTTAAGAGAGGAATGCAGCTCTAAATAATCCATACCTAACAGGATGTCAACTCTTGGACGAGAACTTACCTTTGGAAATTTTATTTTCGTCAAATGTGGCCATTCCTTGGCATGTTTGCGCCAATCAATGACTTCCATTCTACCTGTTACTTTGGTAGTTGTCAAAGCTGTGATGTTCATGTCAACTGAACCATCAGTACTTTCTAAGCCGATATCAGTTAGCATACTATCAAATATTTCCTGTTTTTCATTGAGGACATTGACTGACACTTGCTGTGTCTGACCTTGAACACCAAGTTCTGCTGCTACATCCTCGTTGATGTAAGTATGCGTGCTGGCATCATCCAGCAAGGCATTAACCACCATTCTGTGCTGACCATTCTTAAGGATAACAGGAACTGTCCTAAGTGAAAGGTAATGACCTTCCTGCTTAGAAGTTGCCATGGTGATTGTTTCTGACCTACCTGCTTGTGGTGTTCTTGTTGTATGTTTCATCTCTACATTACCACTGTCGGCCCTAGCACTGCTTGTAACTTTGGTTTGATCATGAAGTAACCTGTTATGATTTGCTTTACAGCCATCAATCCCACACTTCAAAACTCTGCTACACGATCTTCCCAGATGACCGATATCAAGGTAACGAAAGCATAAACCTAACTGTTTTGCCCTTTCCCAGCGTTTAGGTAGGCCAATAGATTTAAACTCTATGCAATCTGAAGTGTCATGATCTGAGTCATGACACACATGACATTGCCTTGCCCTAGGTTTATTATGTGTGATTGCAAATGTTCCTTTCTTAGAACTATCTCTCTTGTCTGTTGTCTTTGACCTATCAGCTATTCCATGTTTTACCTCCGAGGCTATCGTTTGGAACTCTGCTTCCTGCAGAATCCATTCCCTAAGCGTCTCAACAGACTCTTGTCGTTGGTGCTCAAATAACCATCTGTGGAACTGAGTAATCATAGGCTCATTCATTTTCTTAACCAATAGTGAATACAAACATCCACTACCAAGTTCCTCTATTTTATCAGATTCCCTCAGACTGACTACAGCTACATCAAGCATGTCCGCAAATTTGTCCATATCCTTAGCATTCCCTAATCGTATTGGCTTGAAATTGTATATTTCTTCCAATTGTAATGCTACCTGGCGTCTCTTGCCGCCATATTTTCTGTCCAATCTCTCCAAAGCTACATCATAGACTGAAGCACTGTGACCTAGCCTTGCAACTATGTGTGCCGCTTCTCCAGAAAGGTACTGCTTCAATTGCAGAAGTTTATATTCATTGGTGGCTGGAGCTTTATCAACACATGCTATAAAAGCAGACTTCCAGCCTTCATATTCTCTGACGTCACCAGAAAATACTGGAATGGAAACTCTCTTCAATTGTTTCCACATATCTTCACCTAAATTGTGTTGCCTAGATGACTTACCTGAAGTTGTATAACACCCTTTTGTGTTATCTGGGACTGGTGTCCGTTTCATATCCATATATGACCTTTGTTGAAAATGGACTAACTTGAACGCAGCATGTTTGTAACCTTGGTTACTGATTTGCCCAGCGCCATCACTGTCCAAGTCTGCATCGTGCAACAAACCTTTACAGCTATCATGCGACCGATTCGCATCGAATTGGCGAGACCTTAACATTTCTGACTGAATGCTTTTTGCGTCCGAACTAACATGTGATCTGTCCTTAAGAAATGCTTCAGCCTTATCAAGGGCAAGTTCAATTTCATCTTCAACAGTTTCTATCTCCTTACTAGTTTTCTTAACTTTCTCTAGGTCACCAACCCAGTTGTAAGCTTCTAGTAATTCCACTATGAGACCTATAGCCTTGCTTTGCAGAAAACTTACCTGATCAATTAGACTCCTAATTGTCTTACGATCTGGTGTCTCAAGTTCAACTAAATTCAACAATTTGTTCTTTGATTTTGTCAAAGCTGACTTTGAAATAGTTTTCTGATGCTTAAGTTTAGCTATCTTTAGCTCAAGTTCAGAATTGTTCTGTTTTAGTCCTACGTCTGAAGAAGCGTACTGTTCCAGCGCTACGTCTGAAGAAGTATCCTTTTCTACCTCCGCCTTACTCGCAGACCCTAACTGCGACATACTGCTTGCATGTAACAGTCAGCTATACCTAATGCTAATCTAAACTAACGAAAGCCTAATACAAAACTAAAATATTCTAACCAGAGAAACCACGCTCTGCTACCAAATGTTGCGCAGTGGAACTGAATATTTGAGCTTGGTTTAACTTAAAATGAAAACTAATCTAAACTTTGTATGACTTACCTTTTTTGAATGAATCCAGGAACTAAACGTGATAACCTATTATAAAACTATGAAGATCTATGAGGAACTAAACGTGATTACCTGTTATTATGTGAAGGAAAGATGAATCAACCTCAAATGAAAGAAACTAAATGCTAATTCTAACAGTTACTCCTAAGGGAGTCTTAACACTGTCTAACACTGTCTAACGCCATGTCTAACACCATCTATCTAACCCCATCTATCTAACCCCATCTATCTAACCAACAAACTCTCTAACGAACTCTGGCCAACTTTCTAACCATCTAACTAACCATCTAACGAATGGTCTAACGAACATTCTAACGAACTGCGAACTATGACCAAGTCTCTCTCTCTCTCGCTCTAACCATCTAACTAACGAATTCTGACCAAAGTAACTAACTGATGCGCGCTACCGCCTTATATTTGCTCACAACCCTCACATTTCACGTGCAGTCACAGCCATACGTTGGTGCGTTCAGGCGATGCGATCGTTATGCATCGGGTGCGTTTTGGAGAACAGATTCTTTATTTAACACTAACACGAGTGCACGTGAAGCGCGATCTATAGGCTCCGGGTGCGTTTTGGAGCACACTTTTAATGAACGAACATGTCTTCAGAACACCAATTACTTTCAATTACCTTGTGTACAGAAACGCATGTATTAAATGGAAAATGCAATTGTTTGAAAACAGCATGCGTAAATACCCAGTAAAGTTTTTTCAGCATGCATACAACGGAGCTAATTTCCGAAACACAATTACGAGCTTATTTACTTTCCGAGTCAAGCCTATATTTAGGACAGTTATATACATCTAAAACAATATTTCATTCTTTTTTTAAAATCTCAAAATGCTTACTCATTTTGGGAAAAACCCAATAGAGTGATGAATAGATGAATGGATGAGTGAAAATATATTAGCTACCCAATGAAAAATGTAAGAACCCAATTAAAATAGAAACCCTAGAGTAAAATCTCAATTGCTCAAATAGATATCTGCATGGAGCTCTGTGTGTAGTAACTATAGAATACAAGGTATGTGATTGCTGTGGGCATTATACATATTCATTGTAATCACCATTGAATTATCAGCCAACTGATCAGTGACGACTAACATCAACAGTCATACAGTTTGGCCCTAACTCTGTGAAGATTCACACAAAGTTCCTAACGACTGCATGGAGGTGAGAACCAGTGTATAAACTTAGACTGTGCGGTATTATCTGTATATCGGTAAATTCATATCGGTAGGGTCATTTTTTCCATGATATGTAGCACAATACCTTTCATTCATGCTCCGTATATCGGGTGATATAAAATTGTGATTTTTATTATGTGTTTATTGTTGTATGCTTGCCACAAATGCCTTCGCTGTGCCAGAACATGCATCCAGGGCCCCAAGATGGCTGCGTATTTATTGACTGAGTAAACATTATGTTGTACCAGCATCTTGTTTTGTTCCATTAATGAACTTACAGTTCATACCTTGATGTATCAGATAGCTTCTGAATTCAAAATTTAGAATCATGCAATATATTGTGATACGTATCGCAATACGGCCTTGTGCATCGCAAAATATTGTGATACAATACCCATCCCTAGTATAAACATTTTAAGGCCTTGCATATTCTAAATCTTCAAAGCTGCTTAGTCGTGTGAGCGTGAATATAGGCTTGTGATTTAATTTTTATAGAAAGACTTTCGATAATAAACAATAAATGTCAGCACAACTGAGAAAGATTTCTAAAGCAATTAGAACAATGTGGGTGGTGGGATGTCTACACAAGACATGCAAGGATCCTAGATTCCAGTGCATTTTTCATATCAGTTGCAACATTAGTTTCAGTATTTCGCTTTATACCCACAAAATTGCCACACAATACTTAAATGTGTAATGCAAATGAGAATGGCAATTTACTTACTGACTACAACTTTACTCTTAAAAGCCATCAACCAGTGTGTCAAATCTAACCTAACTTACCTATTAAATACCAGTAAAAACAATAATTTCAACCCAATTTGGTGGGCAAACAGTTGATCTCAAGGATGTACCAAACCCTTTAAACATAACAGTGTTTGTGCAATACTGATGTTTGAGTTATAACAAGGGAACCTTAGTCATAGAAACATGGATTCTTTCTGGTTTACAGGAACTATGTATACTGATAGAACTGAATAAGGGGACAGTGACAAAAAAAGTCAAAACGTGTCAGAATCAAATGTTGAGGTGTGTTTGTGTACATTGCTTCCAGCCCGTGTTTGGTAGACAAGGCTGTGAACCTATGATAGTATCGTATTCGACGTAATAAGCGCCCAGGGCGCTCTCAAAATTAGAAATAGGGGGCTCTTATAAGAATATTATTTTGGTGAAAAAAATATGAAAGATAAATTTTGTGGTTTATCCTGACAGCCTGAAGTGTTTATATATGACAGATATATTTTTTCCAGAATTTAATTGCCCATAATTGAGGGTGCATATTACACACGAGTGCGTATTATACACGAATAAATAGGTCTTGTGTCCATTGATCAATCAGAAGGGGTGCTAATTGGGATTGTTCACTAGCCAATATTTTAGCAAATATCGCCGTGGGCGCTTATTAGAGTGGGGCGCTTATTACGTCGAATACGGTATATCATTTTTCTGTGTCTGAAACTAAGTGTTTTCTTATTCATTTCAATCAGTATGTAATTACATCTTACTGAACTTGCTGTGTCCTCAATACTGTAAATCTTGAAATTAATGCGAGCGTAAATTAAATGCGAAAAATGTGAGTGGTCTTTGCTCGCATGAATTAACTTTGCATTTATGTCTCCAAAATGACTATCAACAACAGACAGCCTCGCCGCACACTTTGGCTAGCGGAAATACCAGCTTGAATATAAACACAAACACGGTTTATTGAGCAGCAGTTGCAACAAGTACATAACAATGCCATTCAAAGAACAGGATTGATTGGATTACAGTAAGGTTGGATTAAAGTAAGGATATGTATCATTCCACTGAGGATGAGCCGGGGGGAGCCTCATTGATTTTGAGTCGCATTTTTGGCTAGGGGTCAGCAGTCGTATTAATTTAGAGATGCATTAATTTCAAGATTTTCAGTATATTTTGGTGAAGGTTGTATTCCCCACTTGTAGATATGAAACAAGTTTTACACGGGGTGGGAAGTATTTGAATGCCATCATTCTGGTATTCATGGCTTGATTTAGAATTTGATTTAACTTGCACCAGATGCATGATGAAGTGAAAAGCTAGTTGCACCAGACAGTATCAGGTTGCACCCTGGTCCCATAAAGTGGAAACACAAACATAAACTAGTCTAAAAAAGTATAATATCAGTTTCTCTGATAGGCATTTAGAAGTTGGAGTACTAAGTAAGGATAAGATTTATGGATGAGCAACTTTTTTATTACAATTAAGAGCAACGTTTGAGTGTAGGTTCTAACACCGTTAGCAAGCAAGTGATCACTTACTTGATAACAGTGTTAGAACCTACACCAAAATGTCGCTCTTGTAATAAAGAAGTTGTTCATCCATTAATGTTATCCTTACATATAATATCAGTTGTCTGATGACTCAATTGTCATGAATTACACATAACACAGGAATTAGTTATGTAGTATGGAGTGGACATGTTGGGGTTAATTACTGTCAGACATACATGGACGTGTAGCATGCACACATTACTATTAGGTTGCATTTTTCACTAATAGGTTGCACTGGTGCATGTTTTATACAGTTAATTCGAGTCCTGGTACTGGGAATTATAAAACTAGAGGAAGGCGAAGTGGTATCTGTTAACAAAGAATCTCAGTGCTGCAATCGTTAAAGGATCTTCTTGAAAAAAGCCTCTTCTTCTCGTATAATTCGTTTTAAACATGTTGATGTTTGAAAATGATCTGATTTTCTGTCTCGTAATTTCACATGCATAATTATTCTTTTACAGTATGTCATAGTTTTCTTTTAGTGTTATTTAATCAGTTGTGATATAATATTGTTTCCTTTGTTCTGTTGAGTATGTCTGTGTGGTGTGGAGATGAAGGTTGACAAAGTATGCTGGAGATCACACCTTGGAGCAGATCCTCGAAAATGTTGAAACTGAGGTTGTCCTTTGTCAAAATGTATAGTTAACCAGATTTAGTAAATTCAGTTGCTTTTTACATATAAAATGGTTACACCGATAGGATGTCATTTTGAAGTATTTATCCAAGAAAACATCAGATTTTTACTTTTGATGATGGAGGGACTGGATTTAGTTGTTTTCATAGGATGGTAACTTAATTTGGGTCCATGTTTTGGTTGTCTTGACTTTACGGGGAGATGACTTCAAGTGCAGATATAGGTTGTCTTCACGTGGTTGGGATTAAGGGTCTAGATTTGGGTTGTCTTCACGTGGTTGGGATTCAGGGTCTAGATTTGGGTTGTCTTCACGTGGTTGGGATTTAGGGTCTAGATTTAGGTTGTCTTCACGTGGTTGGGATTTAGGGTCTAGATTTGGGTTGTCTTCACAGGGTTGGGATTTAGGGTCTAGATTTAGGTTGTCTTCACAGGGTTGGGGTTTAGGGTCTAGATTTAGGTTGTCTTCACGTGGTTGGGATTTAGGGTCTAGATTTAGGTTGTCTTCACAGGGTTGGGATTTAGGGTCTAGATTTAGGTTGTCTTCACAGGGTTGGGATTTAGGGTCTAGATTTAGGTTGTCTTCACAGGGTTGGGATTTAGGGTCTAGATTTAGGTTGTCTTCACAGAGTTGGGATTTAGGGTCTAGATTTAGGTTTTCCTGTACAGGGTTGGGATTTAGGGTCTAGATTTAGGTTGTCTTCACAGGGTTGGGATTTAGGGTCTAGATTTAGGTTTTCCTGTACAGGGTTGGGATTTAGGGTCTAGATTTAGGTTGTCTTCAAAGGATGGGGATTTAGGGTCTAGATTTAGGTTGTCTTCAAAGGATGGGATTGAGGGTCTAGATTTAGGTTGTCTTCAAAGGATGGGGATTTAGGGTCTAGATTTAGGTTGTCTTCACAGGGTTGGGATTTAGGATCTAGATTTAAGTTGTCTTCACAGGATGGTGAACAAGGGCCCAGATAGAGGTTGTCCTCACCATCAAATTCCTGTGTGTTGACGATGTCATGGGATGGTATTCAGTTATGCAAGATAAATCTACACTTTGATACTTGAGATTGCTAACATGGAGGGTGTGTGTGCATGATGGTTACTTAGCACGTCCATTGGTTTATTGTTACATGTAAATAGAGGCATTTCGTATTTAGATATATACCCCAAGAATGTTTTTTATTCTGTATTTGATCATGCGCAACAGATTTTATGGCAGTGTTCTTCTTGTCATAGATGAATTGTTTGTATATTTTTTTATACTATTGAGTACTGATTTTTGGCAAATAAATTGTTATGCTGTTACTCAAATGTGTGTTTGTCTTGAAATATGAACATGGTTTAGCTCATGTTGATGGAAAACCATGTTAATGTCTTCTCTGAAACCCCTGGATCAATGAAACTGAAGCTTTGCACATTTGTCCTCTCCAATGATGACGCCTGAATTTGTTGAAGAGATTTGAACCTGACTTTCAATATGGCAACCATTAATCGCCATAACTTGGCCATTTTTCTTTTTTAAATTGAATAAAATTTTGCATGCACGTTGTAGAACCAATCGGGCAAAGCATTCACAACAGCAGTACTGATTTCTGTATCTCGAATAGGAACATAAACAGGTAGTCCCAAATGCAAATTATATAAGTGCTATTTTAGTTATTGGATATTTTCTGAGTGCAATGGCATCTACACGCAAAAAGGTGCATTGTCGAGAAAACATCTATGTTCTGTGTGGCCCTTATTCATTTCACCCTCATCCTCTGCCTCTTGTAGTGGGCTAACATTTAGTCCCAGAAATATAGTTATCTAATTTCAAAATATATACCCGGTATCCACAAAATAAAAAGTAAAATTCAAATCAATCTAATGAAAATCAGATCTTGGTTCTTGCTGCAGCTAAACAAAGATCTGGCGACATCTCATTATGGGCCATGTAAGAATGACCTTTTGCGAACTTTGACTGACCAAATGAATGACTAATAAGAAGTCAACATTAGCCAGAAACAGCTTTCTTGAGCTATACAGCACTAGTTACAAACTGATGACATCCATTCCAGACTACGCTTGAAAAAAATGTTGACGTCGATCTCGATTAAATTTTTTAGAGCTGAACAAATGAACATTCTGGAATGTCTAATATATGGTTGAGATTGTATGGCAGTCCTTTCCACAGGCTATGCATGTCTCTTCCGTTCAAATGTTTATATCCCTTTGAAGTGAGAGATAAATGATGATGTTGACAGAATCAGACGTACAGCCGTTACTGTTTGTCAGAATACCCTGTGTTAAACATTTTGAGCTTACATGATTAGAAAACAGATTCCGACAGTCACTTTCCTGATCTGGTAAGCGACACTCTGATTGGTTGGATGAAAGATTGTTCTGACTTGACCCATAATAGGATGTTCCCAGATCTTTGTTTCGCGTAGCGAGAATTAAGATCTTAATTTAATTAGATTGAATTCAAATGGAGCCCAGGACAATTCATGATATCAGAGACTAACCAGATCTGCAGTCCCCGTCAGACCTTCTCCAACAAAGCTGACGACAACAACAACCAGGACAGCTTTGTATTTGGGATTTCTACCCATCTAGATGGCAGCCACAATGTCAGTACCACAAGTCCTTATCATTCACAGCCCTAATGTCAGTACGACAAGTCCTTATCATTGACAGCCACAATGTCAGTACCAAAAGTCCTTATCATTCACAGCCTCAATGTTTTAACTACAAGTCCTTATCATTCACAGCCTTAATGTCAGTACCACAAGTCCTTATGATTCAGAGCCTTAATGTCAGTACTACAAGTCCTTATCATTCACAGCCTTAATGTCAGTACGACAAGTCCTTATCATTCACAGCCTTAATGTCAGTACCACAAGTCCTTATCATTCACAGCCTCAATGTCAGTACTACAAGTCCTTATCATTCACAGCCTTAATGTCAGTACGACAAGTCCTTATCATTCACAGCCTCAGTGTCAGTACGACAAGTCCTTATCATTCACAGCCTCAATGTTAGTACTACGAGTCCTTATCATTCACAGCCTCAATGTTTTAACTACAAGTCCTTATCATTCACAGCCTTAATGTCAGTACCACAAGTCCTTATCATTCACAGCCTCAATGTCAGTACGACAAGTCCTTATCATTCACAGCCTCAATGTCAGTACTACGAGTCCTTATCATTCACAGCCTCAATGTTTTAACTACAAGTCCTTATCATTCACAGCCTTAATGTCAGTACTACGAGTCCTTATCATTCACAGCCTCAATGTTTTAACTACAAGTCCTTATCATTCACAGCCTTAATGTCAGTACCACAAGTCCTTATCATTCACAGCCTTAATGTCAGTACCACAAGTCATTATGATTGACAGCCTTAATGTCAGTACGACAAGTCCTTATCATTCACAGCCTCAATGTCAGTACTACGAGTCCTTATCATTCACAGCCTCAATGTTTTAACTACAAGTCCTTATCATTCACAGCCTTAATGTCAGTACCACAAGTCCTTATCATTCACAGCCTTAATGTCAGTACCACAAGTCATTATGATTGACAGCCTTAATGTCAGTACCACAAGTCCTTATCATTCACAGCCTTAATGTCAGTACCACAAGTCCTTATCATTCACAGCCTTAATGTCAGTACCACAAGTCCTTATCATTCACAGCCTTAATGTCAGTACGACAAGTCCTTATCATTAACAGCCTCAATGTTTGAACTACAAGTCCTTATCTTTCACAGCCTTAATGTCAGTACTACAAGTCCTTATCATTCACAGCTTCAATGTCAGTACTACAAGTCCTTATCATTCACAGCCTCAATGTCAGTACTACAAGTCCTTATGATTCACAGCCTCAATGTTTTAACTACAAGTCCTTATCATTCACAGCCTTAATGTCAGTACCACAAGGCCTTATCATTGACAGCCTTAATGTCAGTACTACAAGTCCTTATCTTTCACAGCCTTAATGTCACTTCTACAAGTCCTTTTCATTGACAGCCGCAATTTCAGTATTACAAGTCCTTATGATTCACAACGGCAATGTCAGTACTGCAAATCCCTATCATTGACAGCCGCAATGTCAGTACTACAAGTCCTAATCATTGACAGCCGCAATGTCAGTACCACAAGTCCTTATGATTCACAGCCTCATTGTCAGTACTATAAGTCCTTATCATCGACAGCCTCTATGTCAATACAAGTCCTTATCATTGACAGCCTCAGTGTCAGTACTACAAGTCCTTATCATTGACAGCCTCAGTGTCAGTACGACAAGTCCTTATCATTGACAGCCGCAATGTCAGTACGACAAGTCCTTATCATTGACAGCCGCAATGTCAGTACTACAAGTCCTTATCATTGACAGCCTCAGTGTCAGTACTACAAGTCCTTATCCTTGACAGCCTCAATGTTTGAACTACAAGTCCTTATCTTTCACAGCCTTAATGTCAGTACTACAAGTCCTTATCATTGACAGCCTTAATATCAGTACAACAAGTCTTTTTGATTCACAGCCTCAATGTTTGAACTACAAGTCCTTATCTTTCACAGCCTTAATGTCAGTACTACAAGTCCTTATCATTGACAGCCGCAATATCAGTATTACAAGTCCTTATCATTCACAACCGCATTGTCAGTACTGCAAATCCTTATCCTTGACAGCCTTAATGTCAGTACTACAAGTCCTTATCATTGACAGCCTCAGTGTCAGTACGACAAGTCCTTATCTTTGACAGCCTTAATGTCAGTACTGGCAAGACCTTATCATTGACAGCCTCAGTGTCAGTACGACAAGTCCTTATCATTGACAGACGCAATGTCAGTACTACAAGTCCTTATCATTGACAGACGCAATGTCAGTACTACAAGTCCTTATCATTGACAGCCGCAATGTCAGTACTGGTAAGTCCTTATCATTCACAGCCTCAGTGTCAGTACTACAAGTCCTTATCATTCACAGCCTCAGTGTCAGTACTACAAGTCCTTATCATTGACAGCCTCAGTGTCAGTACTACAAGTCCTTATCATTGACAGCCTCAGTGTCAGTACGACAAGTCCTTATCATTGACAGCCTCAGTGTCAGTACGACAAGTCCTTATCATTGACAGCCGCAATGTCAGTACGACAAGTCCTTATCATTGACAGCCGCAATGTCAGTACTACAAGTCCTTATCATTGACAGCCTCAGTGTCAGTACTACAAGTCCTTATCCTTGACAACCTCAATGTTTGAACTACAAGTCCTTATCTTTCACAGCCTTAATGTCACTTCTAAAAGGCCTTTTCATTGACAGCCGCAATTTCAGTATTACAAGTCCTTATGATTCACAACGGCAATGTCAGTACTGCAAATCCCTATCATTGACAGCCGCAATGTCAGTACTACAAGTCCTAATCATTGACAGCCGCAATGTCAGTACCACAAGTCCTTATGATTCACAGCCTCATTGTCAGTACTATAAGTCCTTATCATCGACAGCCTCTATGTCAATACAAGTCCTTATCATTGACAGCCTCAGTGTCAGTACTACAAGTCCTTATCATTGACAGCCTCAGTGTCAGTACGACAAGTCCTTATCATTGACAGCCGCAATGTCAGTACGACAAGTCCTTATCATTGACAGCCGCAATGTCAGTACTACAAGTCCTTATCATTGACAGCCTCAGTGTCAGTACTACAAGTCCTTATCCTTGACAGCCTCAATGTTTGAACTACAAGTCCTTATCTTTCACAGCCTTAATGTCAGTACTACAAGTCCTTATCATTGACAGCCTTAATATCAGTACAACAAGTCCTTATGATTCACAGCCTCAATGTTTTAACTACAAGTCCTTATCTTTCACAGCCTTAATGTCAGTACTACAAGTCCTTATCATTGACAGCCGCAATATCAGTATTACAAGTCCTTATCATTCACAACCGCAATGTCAGTACTGCAAATCCTTATCCTTGACAGCCTTAATGTCAGTACTACAAGTCCTTATCATTGACAGCCTCAGTGTCCGTACGACAAGTCCTTATCTTTGACAGCCTTAATGTCAGTACTGGCAAGACCTTATCATTGACAGCCTCAGTGTCAGTACGACAAGTCCTTATCATTGACAGACGCAATGTCAGTACTACAAGTCCTTATCATTGACAGACGCAATGTCAGTACTACAAGTCCTTATCATTGACAGCCGCAATGTCAGTACTGGTAAGTCCTTATCATTCACAGCCTCAGTGTCAGTACTACAAGTCCTTATCATTCACAGCCTCAGTGTCAGTACTACAAGTCCTTATCATTGACAGCCTCA